TTAAGCTTCCATGGTAGATTGTGACCTCTCTTGTGAAGTTGCAAGTTTTGGTCTCTCTGAAAACCTTTGTTGCAGATCTCGCAAACGAATCTGTTTGTTGCCATTAGTGTTTTTGGTGATAAAGCCATCACTTCTGCTTCTGGGTCTGATTGAAAAGTCAAGAAAAACAACACCAGGAAGTTGATTAGTACAAAATTTACTGAAATTTGCTTAATTTATACTAACAGTCTAATACTTTATGGGTTTGCTGTCTTCCACTAAACAAGAACAGCCAAGAAACGAAACCCATTTCGTAAATTAAGGAATTTGAAAGAAAACACTAATAAAGTTTGGATTTTTATTTGGTTTCACCCATTTCAATAATAGCGACGAGAAAGAGGACAAATTTCAAAAAGGGTAAAAAGAATATTCCTTTTTCGAAGACCCATAATTTGGACAAAAACAATCGATGACGGTAAATCACAAGAAAATCAAGAAAGGTTGAATTTTTATTTTTTTGGATAAATATTTGTGTCAAACTAATGAATAATTTACCTGGATTGCCTGGTTGGTTTCTCTTCCTCTTTTGAGATGATTGTGGAACAAAAGACTGTTCTTGTTGCATATTTGGATTAACGTTGTAGTGAAAGTTGGAGCCACTGGTTTCAGACACACTTGCTTGATCTCCTGAAGCTGATGTCAGATTCGACATGTTTTCTTCCACTTGTTGTTGATGGTGAAGTGACATATCTTTGTTCATCATCATCCTTAACAAAAACCTTAAGACGCAAACAAAAAGGTACAAACTTTTTTCAGATCTGTGTGTGTATTCGAAAACAGACAAAGAGTAGTGGGCAAACTAGCAAAGAGAAGATTTAAGCAGAAACATCCAAGAAATTAGTGAAACTATTTAATTAGCTAGCTTTCTTGTTTGGCTTCGACACAAGAGACAATCTTTGGTTTGTGGGAAGAACAAAAATAATAATAAGATCCAAAACCCAAGAGAGAGAGTTTGTTTGAAAGCTGAACATAAAAAAACCAGACTTTTTTGTTCTTGTTCATTTCAAACATGAACAAGAAGGCTTTAAGGTTTGCTTTTTGCTAGCAAGAATCCAAAAGATAAAACATAAAAAATCCAACAAGAACTTACTGCACAAAGATGAATAAACAAGAAATCAATTACTACAAAGCAAGAAGGGGAGAAAATCTAAAATACCTATAAGAAGAAGGAGAGAGAAGAGAGAGATTGTGGATGAGAGAAACTCCATTATCTTTCTCTCTTTGTGTGATATTTGAAGCTTATAAATTCAAAACTTGAAAAAAAAAATAATAATAATAATCCGAACCCTACCGCTACCGCTAATGAAAAAAGCAAAGAACAAATAAAACTCTTCTGGCGTTTGGCGTTTTCTGTCTTTTATTTACTTACACTTTCACAGAAGCTCAAAGCAGTCTGTCCTTTCAAAGTATTATTACCTGTAAATTTGGTTTTTTATTATTTTCTGTTTTTTCTTTTTTCATGTGTGGTTAAAATAATGGGAAAATGTTTATTTAATTTTTATCATAAGGAAAGGTGGGCCAAATATTAATATACTTTCTCACAGTTGTGTGAAAAGCTTGCAGAAAGAAGAGAGATTGTAAGTTTATAATTTTGTACGTTTCTCGAGATAGCGAGAAGACATGTTTGAATGCGTTTTAGTGCATGCACTATGCACTATTTTCCCTAGGAGTAATTGATTTTCATTATTTTATTTGGATTCTTCAGTCTTCATAATTGTACGACATTTATAGCTAAGAATCTGTAATTTATTGGTTTCTACTTTTGTGACAACATTGTCAAATCTGAATTTGATCAAGAGAGTATGTTTCTGGTGTGTGTTATAGAAAGAACCTAACATAATTAATCTACTGAACAATTTTTTCATGTTCACACTTTTCTTTAGAAATAAAATTTTCGTGCTATAATTCTGACATATTAGAAACTGATTATTATAAAAATATATGATAAAATACAATTTCTTCTAATCTCACGAGAACGTTTGGCCTCCATACCTCAAACCTTAATAGTTTAATTTTTGGTTTTTTAGTTATAACTTATAAGTACGTATCTACATTGTAGTTTTTAGTCCTAAAGACATGATTGAGTCATTGATTAAAGGGGAAAAGGCAAACTTTTCTGTTTCTTTTTTTTTTCTGGGTTCATTTGTGAGGCTTTTCATGTTAAAAGAAAATAAAAAATTATATGGATTTAATTGTGTTTCAGTGCACGAATTTTTTTTTATTGATTGACACATGCCCTAACCTGCTTTATGATCTACATCGAGCTATGGACATAAATCATTGACATTTTTATTTCATTTTTGAAAATTAAAAATGATAATTCATGCGTAGACCATGGTCGGTCCAAGGTCGTAGACTAGACACCACTAAACTCGTTATCTTATCTACATTTAAAATAGGGTAAACAAAAACTGACTAGAACTTATAATATTTAATACTGTAATGGTGTCGTTTTAGGAATTTCTTTTGTCAACCATTTTACGAGTTTAATCCATCTTTTATATATGGTAATTTATTAATGTCATACGTAAGCTATATATAGTAACTGAAATAACAACCAAGTAAATACTTAGGAAAATTTGCAAGAATATAGACATGCGGAGAAAAAGAAGAATTTCATAAATACTCACATCAGAGCGTCATTCTTTTTCGTGACATATATGCACCACATCACATTTGGCCGTGACATATCAAATGCGGTGGCATATTTCAGCAATCAAGAACATAAATTTTGAGGCTTTGAATTTTTAATCACGTGTTCTCAGTTTGATCGATGACAAGCAACAAGCCATACTGGTGTATATGATTATTGTCGTTAGTCATGATTGCCATTATATCGAAAGAACATAACGATATTCGATTATTATTGCACAACTGATTAAAAAAAAGAGATTCTTCATGCAAAATAGTACTAGTTCATACATAATCAATATCCGAAAACTATAGTTGAAAAAAGATTACACGTCCATGTCTCCACGTCAACAACGCGTGGATCCTATTTTTTACAAATTATATAAAATAATACATCGACACAAAACAAAAGCTAAACTTATGTCTATAATATTGTAATCAGAAACCCCCATCATGTTTTAGTTGAAATAAAATGTAGGCTGTCGTTTTATAATTTCGGATAATATATACTTGCAAGAAAAAATAAATCAACTGTAATGTAAGAAATGAGAATAGCAAAGAGGTTATAGGATAGGTAAAAATAACCGAAGCAGGAATACACGAGCTGAGTATAGGAAAGACGCAGCGGACCCATCTCTGTGATATAGTTGTATAGGTTTAATTTCTAGAATTAATCTTACTACTATTCAAATCCCATTAAATCTTTTTTAATAATAATTAAACTTTGTCATGGCACCGAATCTTTGCCAACGTCATTTTCGGCCTCTAATAGTCTGTAAGACTTATAATAGTCATAAGTTTGAATTTTTGTTGTTGTTGTTGTCAATGATAAGTTGATAACTGATAAGTTTGAATTCCGATTAAGACAAATGGATAAAGAAGGTGCACATATTTTATATAGTTCTGCTTTTAAACTGGTTAATACTTAATAGTAATACATTGAAGCTTGGAACTTAAAATTAAATGTAAAAGACCCAGAATTATTACCTGTTGCTATATATGTGTATGATATTATAGACAGCAGCAGCTACGGAGAGGAATCTCTCATCTACAGACATAAGTGAAAGTGACAGGTCGATGTAACCGTAGAAGACCAAAAAGAAACGTGGCATACTGTGATTGGATTGTACCTCTTAAGCAAAGAGTCATGATTGGCTTTGACTCTTCTCTTTCTGCGAAACTTAATCCATCCACGCGGTCAGTCTACCTTTCGGACACTCCCGTTCCCAATGTTTCCGTTTCTGGTCTTCCTGGATTCGTCGTCGTTTTGGGTCCCGGACGAAAACCGGTTTTCGATAACCCGAATAATATTTGCAGAATTGTTTACAGAATCTAAACCAAACCAAGCCAAGTAAACCCATAAGCCCAGATAACTGCTCTAAATATATATGGGCTGCAATATTTCTACTCAAAAACCATAAGCAACAGACCATTTTCAAAATGTTCTCTATCTGGGCCTAACTGTCTTACACGAGCATCGTTTTTACACAGAACTGCTGATTGACATTTGACACAATGGTAAGGTTAATTAATTAATTGGTCTTTGATTAATGGATTTATATTCGCAATTACATATCACTTGTACGTTATTAAAGGTTAGTTAATTGATTGGTCTTTGATTAATGGATATAGTTGCAATTACATACCCACTTGTACCTTAGTACTCCTATAATTTATTAATCTCTCCAAGACTCCAACTATGTGAAAAGCCAACAATGTAAGAGTTATTTTCTATCACCATTTCATTTTTTGTGTTTATTTATTTTTGAGAAAGCAATCTAAATCATTTTTGTTATTAAATGAGCCGTTAAAACACATCGTACTTAAAATATCTAGACCAAACACAACCACAAGAAAGGGAGAGCAAGAAAGAAAGAAAAAGAACAACAACAATGGCGAAATTAAATCTTTCCAACATTGGTCTGTCACTATTAGTATCGTTGCTGCTCTGCAACTTTATCATCGATCTTGAAGCTTCACACCACGATCTCAACCAACCGTACCGGACAGGTTATCACTTCCAACCTCCCAGAAATTGGATGAACGGTATGTACCGTACCAAACTGATCTTGATATCTAATTTCCATATATTATGTGTATATCCATCGATGTGTCATGTACTCATGTGTATATTCGATCTTCTAATCAACATCGTTTTATTCTTTGCTGATTCCGTTATCTTCGATGAAATCTGATCCGACAAATATTTCCAGATCCTAATGGTTAGTCTGTTCTCTTTAATCTTTATGTCATTTTTTATTCATGGTTCTTAAAAATTGTTTTTTTGTATCAATACAAAAATACGCACTTGTTCTTTTCATGTAGGACCAATGATATACAAAGGAATCTACCATCTCTTCTATCAATACAACCCATACGGCGCCGTTTGGGATGTAAGAATCGTGTGGGGTCACTCCACGTCACTCGACTTAGTCAACTGGTCCCCACAACCTCCAGCTTTCAGTCCATCTCAGCCGTCGGATATCAACGGCTGTTGGTCAGGCTCCGTAACGATTCTACCAAACGGCAAACCCGTCATCCTCTACACCGGCATTGACCAAAACAAAAGTCAAGTCCAAAACGTCGCCGTTCCGGTTAACATTTCCGATCCATATCTCCGAGAATGGTCAAAATCGCCGGGAAATCCGCTACTAGCTCCCAACGCCGTCAACGGAATTAACCCCGACCGGTTCAGAGATCCTACAACCGCGTGGCTCGGACGCGACGGAGAATGGCGAATGATCGTCGGGAGCTCGACGGACGATCGTCGAGGATTAGCCATTCTTTATAAAAGCCGAGATTTCTTCAACTGGACGCAATCGTCAAAGCCACTACACTACGAAGACTTTACTGGAATGTGGGAATGTCCTGATTTCTTCCCGGTTTCGATAACCGGTTCGGACGGTGTAGACACGTCGTCGTTTAATGAGACTACCAAACACGTACTTAAAGTGAGTTTGATCGAGACGTCACACGACTATTACACCATCGGAAGTTACGATCGTGAGAAAGATGTTTATGTACCGGATATTGGGTTTGTGCAAAACGGATCGGCTCCGAGATTAGACTACGGGAAATTTTACGCGTCTAAAACGTTCTTCGATGAAGTTAAGAAACGAAGGATCTTGTGGGGTTGGGTTAATGAATCGTCGCCGGCTAAGGATGATATCAAGAAGGGTTGGTCTGGTCTTCAGGTAAACTTTTAGTTTTCCCTACACTAATTTGTGATAAGAGAAATATAACTAACCGGTTTTCTTTTCTTGATATATATGATAGTCATTTCCAAGAAAAATATGGCTAGATGAATCGGGAAAGGAATTGCTACAATGGCCGATTGAAGAGATTGAGACATTACGTGGGACACAAACCAGTTGGCACAACAAAGTTCTTGGCGCAGAATCTACTCATCAAGTTCATGGCGTTACTGCAGCACAGGTAGGAATCAATATTTAAGTAAGTTTTTGTTTTAACCAACTGTGGTTTTGATTGATTTCCTTGGTATTGAGCAGGCAGATGTTGACGTATCGTTCAAGGTAGAGAACTTGGAAAAAGCGGATGTGATTGAACCAAGCTGGACCGACCCGCAAAAGATATGTAGCCAGGAAGATTCGTCAGTTAATTCCGGTTTAGGGCCATTTGGTTTGATGGTTTTGGCATCCAATGGCATGGAAGAGTACACGTCTGTTTACTTCAGAATCTTCAAGTCAAATGATACGACTAAGAATACTAAGTACGTAGTGTTGATGTGCAGTAACCAAAGCAGGTACATATATATACCTCAATACATCAATTAAAAGACACGTTTATATTCATTTCGTTTTTACATAGAATGCTAACAAAATTAAATGGCACTCACACGCAGATCTTCGTTGAATGAAGAAAATGATAAATCAACGTTTGGTGCTTTTGTGGCGATAGACCCTTCTCGCCAAACACTTTCTCTCAGGACTTTGGTAAGTTTTAAGTATATGAAAGGACTCCTTGAAGACTTAGCTAGGCTTTGTTTGAAGCGGACATGCCCACATTTTTGTTGGTTAACCCAAACATTTCTAAATTCAACCGATGCATAATAACACGGAATTGATTAGCTTGCTTTTTTGTTTGTTTGTTCTTTGTCTTTGTAGATTGATCACTCTATAGTTGAGAGTTATGGTGGGGGAGGCAAAGTATGTATAACCTCAAGAGTGTATCCAAAATTGGCAATCGGAGAAAATGCAAATCTCTTTGTCTTCAACAAAGGAACTCAAAGTGTTGATGTCTTGAGCCTAAATGCTTGGAGCTTGAAGTCTGCCCAAATCAATAGCGAGTCAATGTCACCATTTATCGACTGTGAAGATTCTCACTCACTTAATCAGTCTTGATTCTTGAGTGGAAAATATTTCTACATTAACACAAAATAAATAAGATACCATATTACATGATAACATTCTTGAAACTTTTACTACTCTATTCAAAGTTTGGGAAATTGAATGAAACAAACAAAAAAGTACAATGGAACAATAGTTTATATAGGCAAGAAACATTTTGGGAGTATATATTTGGGAAGTAATAGTTTATATAGACAAGAAACATGTTTTCAAGTTTCAACTCACATTTTCTTTTGGTTTAGATTTGAGAATTGGTAGATGGTGTGCCAATTATTTCCTATTTTAAAAGAAAACAAATAAATAGAATAATGTGCGAAAGCGACACCGTTTCAAGGATTCTGCTGAATTAGAGAAAACGCTTTTTTCTTGCACATTGTCGATCGTTCCATTGCTCTCGGCTACTTCTGTTACCGGAGAGAAGCCTCGAAGAGATTTACAGAAGAAAGCAACAACGAAGACGAAAATGGCGGTTACGATCCGAATATACGGCATTCTCTTACTCTCTTTCCTCTTGTTTTCCACTCTTCGCGCCTTCTATCTTCCCGGTGTCGCTCCTCGCGATTTCCAGAAGGTACTCTTTTTGATTATTCCGATCTCACGTTTGAATCCGATATCGATCTAAGGTTTCCAGTGTTGATTGAGATTGTTTTGGTGTTCAATTAAATCCAGATCCATAGGAACTTTTTGTTTCGTCTAGTATCATCGTAGAATCTCTGAGCGTGTTTCAGTGTAGGAGTGTTGCCATCTGAGAAATTGAATTTCTTCGATTAGAATTGTTATAATCAGCTTACGGTGATTCGAATTGAAGCTTATTGAGCTCATGATTTTGCAAAACTTGCCTTTGATTATCTGTTTGGAACAGGGTGATCCGCTTTACGTTAAAGTGAACAAATTATCGTCCACGAAGACTCAACTTCCATATGATTACTACTATCTGAATTACTGTAAGCCTCCTAAGATCTTGAACACCGGAGAAAATCTGGGGGAGGTTCTCAGAGGAGATCGAATTGAGAATTCGGTTTACACGGTAAGCCAAAACTCCTTCTTTCCTTGTGATCTTAGCTTTGTACATTAATCTCTCGCATTCTGATGTTTGAGACTTTCGATTATGTTTCAGTTTGAAATGTTGGAGGATCAGCCCTGCAGAGTAGGTTGCCGTGTTAAAGTCAATGCTGAGTCTGCGAAAAATTTCAGGGAAAAGATTAATGATGAATACCGAGCTAATATGTAAGCTTTTGTATATACTGGCCTCGGTTCGTATGAAGTAGTTTTGGTTTATCCTTTTCAAGTTATATGAAATGGCTGTTGCAGGATTCTTGATAATCTTCCGGTAGCTGTTCTTAGACAAAGAAGAGATGGGATTCAATCAACCACTTATGAACATGGTTTCCGTGTTGGCTTCAAAGGGAGTTATGAAGGGGTAATACGTCTCTTAAACCTTCTTCTTTTGTTTTTTTTTCATGTTCTTGTACCAATTAAGGAGTGTAGTTTGCTTTACTTTTGTAGAGTAAAGAGGAAAAATACTTTATCCATAACCACTTGAGTTTCCGAGTCATGTACCATAGAGACGAAGAGACTGATTCTTCTCGAATTGTTGGTTTTGAGGTGACTCCTAACAGGTATTGTCTATTGGTTATCACTTATCATCAACTTTGTTGAAGAGTCTGATTCGTCTTGATTCTTATAAGCTTACGTTTTTCTTTCTTCTTGTCTTTTTGGTTAGTATGTTGCATGAATACAAAGAATGGGATGAAAAAAATCCTCAGCTGACAACATGCAACAAAGACACAAAGAATCTGATCCAAAGCAACACTATTCCTCAAGAAATCGAGGAAGGAAAAGAAATTGTGTTTACATATGATGTCACCTTTAAGGTAACTAATTTACCTATGAGAACTCATTATTTGCGCTCTGTAAACAGATTTATGACGGTTGAAATATGCAGGAGAGTGACATCAAATGGGCTTCGCGATGGGACACATACTTGCTAATGAACGATGATCAGATCCACTGGTTTTCTATCATAAACTCGCTTATGATTGTCCTTTTCCTCTCTGGAATGGTAGCGATGATCATGATGAGAACTCTTTACAAGGATATTTCAAACTACAACCAGCTCGAAACCCAAGACGAGGCTCAAGAAGAAACTGGATGGAAACTTGTCCACGGAGATGTCTTCAGGACACCCTCGAACTCTGGATTACTTTGTGTTTACGTCGGCACAGGTGTTCAGATATTTGGTATGGCCCTTGTGACAATGATGTTTGCATTGCTTGGCTTCTTATCTCCATCCAACAGAGGAGGGCTCATGACTGCTATGGTTCTCTTATGGGTGTTCATGGGCATATTCGCCGGTTACTGTTCTTCCCGTCTCCACAAAATGTTCAAAGGGAACGAGTGGAAACGAATCACCTTGAAGACTGCATTCATGTTTCCTGGTATCCTCTTTGCAATCTTCTTCGTTCTCAACACACTCATTTGGGAAGAACAGTCATCTGGAGCCATTCCCTTTGGTACAATGTTTGCTCTGGTCTGTCTCTGGTTTGGAATCTCTGTCCCACTAGTCTTCATTGGTAGCTACCTCGGTTACAAAAAACCAGCAATCGAAGACCCGGTTAAAACAAACAAGATCCCGAGACAGGTGCCAGAGCAACCTTGGTACATGAAACCTTGCTTTTCAATACTTATTGGAGGAATCCTTCCATTCGGAGCAGTCTTCATCGAGCTCTTCTTCATCTTAACATCGATCTGGCTCAACCAGTTCTACTACATCTTCGGTTTCCTCTTCATCGTGTTCTTGATCTTGATCGTGACCTGCGCAGAGATCACAATCGTCCTCTGCTACTTCCAGCTCTGCAGTGAAGATTACAACTGGTGGTGGAGAGCTTACTTAACATCAGGCTCATCCTCAGTCTACCTCTTCCTCTACTCCGTTTTCTACTTCTTCACGAAGCTTGAGATCACAAAGCTGGTTTCCGGGCTGCTCTACTTTGGGTACATGATCATCATCTCTTACTCGTTTTTCGTGCTAACCGGCTCAATTGGTTTCTACGCATGTTTCTGGTTTGTTAGGAAGATATACTCCTCAGTGAAGATTGACTGATTTAGATGTAATGACATTAACTTTTCATGCCTCTTGAGGTTTCGTTGGATGATGGTTTTAGTCGTAGTTGAAACAGAAATATTATCAAACCTTTTGTAACCACCTTTTAAGTGAATTGATTTTATATTCAAAACAATTTCAATGATACAGACGTAATTATGTTTATTTTAAAGAGGATAGTTTATGCTTGGCCTCCTTAACCATTCTCTCTGTTGAAGAACCACTTGAGAATCCTAGCTTCTGCATCATTTCATCTAATCTTTTACCGTTTGCTAGATACAAATATCCAATCTGAGACAAATTAAACAGGCACAACAAAAGTTAGAAGCACACAAATTTGTATCAGTCTTATGAGTTTCAGAGTTTTGAGCAACTTACTAGTGTTTCCAATGATGAGGCCTTGTTATAAACCGCAACACCAGCACGCCTAGTTGATCTTGTTTTAACCGAGCCTACGTTTTTACCCCACCGGAGTATACCTCTGGACCAACGAAGTAACCGTTACATCGATCAGTATTTGCTTTCTCAAACAAAAAAGAACTTTGGAACTTGTGTAGCATGTGATTCAAACAGTTCATAATATCTCCATGAATCTCTTAGATTATGAAGAGATGATAGAAGAAGACTAGATGCAAACTACGAATGACATGTTTTTGTAACTGACCTTTCATCTTCCGTTAAGAAATCATCATCAAGAAGCTTCTGCAGCAAAGCATACTGAAGAAGAAAGACACACAGAGTAGTTTTAAGTTAAACAAGAACAATGCTGAGAGGACTATACTGTTGTACATTTCCGGCCTAAAGAAGATAAAAGAGAGAAAATAACAACGTAACAAACCGAATGAAATTACAAGATCATAAATAAACAGAGATTTACACGTATATGGAAGCATGGATATGTTGTTTTCTACAATAAACATTATAGCGTTACACAAAAGGGTAGAAGATAGACATACTTGTGCTTCACATCGCACCACTGCTTGAACACGGTCGTTATATTCTTCAATACTTAGCGGAGGGAAAAGAAAATGCCGACGAGCATATATCTACAAAGCCGAGAGATGTAGTTAAAAGATTAACATAGTTAGTAGTGACTGTCTTAATACTAACGTAATCAAATTTGACATTATTGGATCCTAAGAAAACAAAATCACGAACCACAAGCTCATAAACCAACTGTCTCAATGCTATAAACACTTGAATGATCATAATTTGACATCCTAGCATCCTAGAGAAGAAGGATTAAGTACAAAAAGTTTTCTTACATCACGAAGCGCAAGCTCATTAGTGACCGTCTTAATGCTATAACACTAAAGTATCATAATTTGACATTTGTGTATCCTAAAGAAGAAGGATTAAGTACAACAACTTGTCTAAAATCAACTAAGCACAAACTCATAGTGGAATTGTAGACTAACCTCGTAGATTGAATCGCCTATATAAGCTAATGAGGCAGCATTGAAAACAGATTTAGGCTTCCCCACTTTTGGTGGACTTGGAAACCATTTCTCGTATCCAATACCATCAGTTTCATCACCAATGTCTACATAAAAGCAGAATTTTTAGTAAAAGGTCATGAACTGGACAGTTATTAACAGTTGTTCATCGAATTCCGGAGAAAAAAAGCAACAATTCATTACCTTTGCTTGAGGAACGTTTGAGCAAATCGGAAACAGGGACGCTACTTCCCGTTGTTAAGACTGTCGCCGGAGAAGATGATGAAGGAGACGACGGTGGCACGAAAGAGCTAGAGTTAGAGTTTTTCTTGACACTTCGCGGCGCATTGGGATTGTATCGGAGTCTCGGTTGCGTATCTAAACCAGCTCTCACCATAGTAGAGCTCGCTGATAGAATCGCCATTTTTTTGTATATTTTGCAGCTTTTTTTGTTTTTCTTTGTTTCGACGGTAATATGATGAGGCGGTGACATTAATTAATCCACGTGTCCTGTTTCTATTTGTTTGTTTTAGAAAGCTAAATACAAGCTGACCGTAGCTTTAGCAATACGAGCATTGTCTTCTCTTGACACTCTCTCCTTCTCTCTCTCTCTCCTTTCTTCCCGATTTGTAAAACCCTAACGACTAGATTTCGACTCCGTGACTCATCTTCTGCGTTTAACTTCCCGGTGGTCGTATTTCTCAATCGGAGAAATTGACTCGACGAACATCATGAGTCGCTACGATAGCCGGACCGGCGATTCCACCTCGTACCGTGACCGTCGTAGGTAAGTGTAATTGCTTTCGCAACGATTAAATAGAGAAGTAAACAAATTATGCTTCGCTTCATCCGACTTAATGCTGCTCTTTCCACTTCAATTGAACTGTAATTTGTTTCCTCTCGAGTACGAAGAAAATCCGCTTAATTATGATCAAGTTAGTGTTCTTAGTGATTTGATTTCTGATAAAAAAACTTTATTCGTTTTCAATGCTCTATGGTGTTTTGGAGAAGAAGGGTTTGCTTCATTTTCAGATTTTGCTATTTCTTAGTGACTCAGGGTTTGGTGGAGCTTCAGCATATGGAAGCTCAGCTAGCAAAAGGGATAGTGATGGCAATGAATCTCCACGGAAGCCGGATTTGGATGGTTTGACTCCTTTTGAGAAGAATTTCTATGTCGAATCACCCGCTGTGGCAGCTATGACGGAGGCAGAAGTGGAGGATTATCGGAAGCTGAGGGAGATTACTGTGGAAGGACGAGATATTCCAAAGCCCGTCAAAAGTTTCCGTGATGTTGGCTTTCCTGGTAACTTGATTTCATACCTGAGAACTACTAGCTTCATTAAGACTCTGATTACCTTCATTTTCGTGGATATCTGTTAGTTTGTATGTATATCTACTGATTTGGAATTTCCTGATTGGCGTAGAATATGTTTTGGAAGAGATTAAGAAGGCTGGTTTTAGTGAACCTACACCTATACAATCTCAGGGGTGGCCAATGGCATTGAAGGGACGTGATCTCATTGGCATTGCTGAAACTGGCTCTGGAAAGACTCTTTCTTACTTGCTACCTGCAATAGTCCATGTGAATGCTCAACCAATGTTAGGTAACGCTTGATTTCTGCTTGCGGGTCTTTTCTTGTTCCTTCTTGTATGCAACTTGTAAATGGTGTACTGACTCAACTATTGCTTTCTTCCCAGCTCATGGGGACGGTCCAATCGTCTTGGTTCTTGCTCCCACACGTGAACTGGCTGTGCAGATACAGCAAGAAGCGTCTAAGTTTGGCTCATCGTCAAAGATTAAGAGCACTTGCATTTATGGTGGAGTTCCTAAAGGGCCTCAAGTGCGTGATCTCCAGAAAGGTGAATTGCTTCTGTTCAGTGCTTTTTCGTGTCATTTCTCAAACTATTAGTATAGACCATTCTAACAGTGAGTATTGGTTTATGGATTAAGGTGTGGAGATTGTGATAGCTACGCCTGGGAGGTTAATAGACATGATGGAGTCGAACAACACAAACCTGCGAAGGGTTACTTATCTTGTTTTGGATGAGGCTGATCGAATGCTTGATATGGGATTTGACCCTCAGATCCGGAAAATTGTTTCACATGTTCGTTTTTTTTCCTCTGTTTCGGTCACCTATATATGTGTATTCTAGTTGCTTTGTCTTTACAATCTATTGAAACGTGTGCAGATTCGGCCAGACCGTCAAACATTGTACTGGAGTGCTACTTGGCCTAAGGAGGTGGAACAACTATCTAAGAAGTTTCTTTATAACCCGTACAAAGTAAGAGACACTTCTCTTAGTTTTCTTCTCATAAGAGTTTAGCTGTTAACAAAAGCTGAGCAGGCTTCTTGGGTCTTAAGTGCAGGTGATAATAGGATCTTCTGATTTAAAAGCTAACCGCGCAATCCGTCAAATCGTTGATGTCATTTCCGAAAGCCAAAAGTATAACAAGTATGTCTCCTTACCTCTGCTCTCTCTCTCATTTCTTGTCATGGAACTTGGTGGTGAACCCTGAACCGTGACTAATCAATGGATTTTGCAGGTTGGTGAAGTTGCTTGAAGACATAATGGATGGAAGTAGAATTCTTGTCTTCCTGGATACGAAAAAGGGCTGTGACCAAATCACTCGTCAGCTTCGGATGGATGGCTGGCCTGCTTTGTCAATACATGGTGATAAAAGTCAAGCAGAGAGAGATTGGGTTCTCTCAGAGTTTAGGTCAGGCAAGAGCCCTATAATGACTGCTACAGACGTCGCAGCTCGTGGATTAGGTACTAACTCTTTTCATCCTCTGCACTGCAACATGGAAACTCTGTTTAACATGCGACAAGCTGATAATGTCTTTTTGAAATGTGAACAGATGTGAAAGATGTGAAGTATGTGATAAACTACGACTTCCCTGGATCACTAGAGGATTATGTTCACAGGATTGGAAGAACTGGTAGAGCAGGGGCCAAAGGAACAGCTTACACTTTCTTCACGGTTGCAAATGCGAGATTTGCCAAAGAGCTTATCAACATACTAGAAGAAGCTGGACAGAAAGTGAGCCCCGAATTGTCATCCATGGGTCGAAGTACCGCTCCTCCTCCTCCAGGTCAGTTAACACAAACAAAGATAACTTTGTCTTTAGTACAGTCTCGGTTGCTTTCTGATTGATTCACTAGGAACACACAAAACTGGCATCATCAGATGATTTGTAGTGCTTGGTTATGATTATTTTATCTAACTTTTGGTTTTAACGAATGTGGAAAACAGGGCTTGGAGGATTTAGAGACCGTGGGAGTAGAAGAGGAGGCTGGAGCTGAACACTGTGTTACTGTATGTGTTATGGCTTTTAGGGATCAGTGGTTTTCTTTTTTCGACTATTTATTACCTCTCTCTTATCTCTTTTTGTTCCTAAAGCATTTGACATTTACAACAAACATTAAACATGTAAGATAACTTATGATCCGAATTAGGGTAAGATTTGTGGTTAACAACAAAACCAAAGATGATGTTTTCCTAATTTTTATTATGACAAACAAACTATCATTTCAAGATGAAAATTGCTTAATAATTAGTTGACAAAAGAAAAAATTGCTTAATAATTATTGTCGCTAGATTTAATAACAATTTTGACTATTACAAAAAGGTAGAAAACTGCGAGTAAATTAAATTAAATCCCAAGTAAATCCCTTGATTTAACTCTAGCCCACACCGGAGGAAGAAGAAAGGGACATTTGCGAAGAAGTGAGAAAATCTTTGATCGCACGACGAATCTAATCACCGCCATGAGTGAAGAAGGTCCCAAGCTTTACGCCAACAAACCCAAGAAGAAGGGTAAGAAAACAACCCTACCTAATGATGTTTTTTTTGCTTTCTTCTCCGATTAAACAAAGAGAAAGTGTTGCTTTTTTCCCAGCTCACTCAACGAATCTCTCACAATTTTGATTTATATGATTTGACATCTGATCTCGTTTCGATTGTGATCTGTATCAGCCATTATTGCTCAGCTGAAGCACGTCGAGGCCAATTTCAATAACTCCACCGTTCCTCCACCATCAGCTTCGTCTCCGGCAGCAGCAGCGGCGGCTTCGTATACGATGGGTGGTGGTTCTGCTCCTCCTCCTCCGCCTCCGAAGGAATCATTCGCCCGGAGATATAAATTTGTCTGGCCGCTTCTTCTCACCGTCAATCTCGCCGTCGGAGGTAATCAATCGTTTCATTTCTGCATTTTGTGTGCGTAGTTCGAATTAGGGTAACATTTGAGGAAGATTTTGCTGGATTCAAGAATTTTCCATAGATTTGCATTTTGAACCTTAGAATCATTAGTGTTTTGATCAGGCACAAAGCTTGGACCATTATTTGCTTCAGATTATATGCTCTGCTACGCCTGTGAATGATTGAGTTTTTGCTTGATAATTTTGTAATCTACAAGAGTCTATTTTGTTTACTGTATCTATTGATACACACACACACTTTGAGTCTCTGACTCTGAGGTTAAACAAATGGATTTTGTTCATCTTTATACCATCACATACCTTTAGATGTCTATCAACATCGAACTTCCACCTTGAAGATTGTTCCTGGAATAGTTTCTTGATTCATGATCTTGGAAATAGAAGTTTCTCAACTCGTAAATGAAAATGTTTTTTGATATGTACTAACTAAGCTGTTGATATTTGAACATTCGCATGTTATGATAGAAAGGCTTTCACAGAGACCTTCGTTATACTCACTTGTGGTTCCTCGCCTTGTTGCTTTTGCAGGTTACCTTTTCTTTAGAACTAAGAAAAAGGACATAGAACCTGCAAATGAAGAGATGGCTGCTAAATCTGGTTCACTCGCTGCTCCTGTTACCGTGGAAAAGTCCGTGTCTTCCACAGTGGTTGCAGAGCCGATGGTGATCAAGGCACGTGAGCCAATACCGGAGAAGCAACAACGCGAGCTCTTCAAATGGATGTTGGAGGAGAAAAGGAAAGTCAAACCGAGAAATGCAGAAGAGAAGAGGCGTATTGACGAAGAAAAGGCGATTCTGAAACAATTCATAGGAGCCAAAACCATTCCTACTCTATGATTATAAAGTTCAGCTTTTGTTTCAATTCTTATTCTTGTGGATATCAGATGTTTTGCTTTTGGATATTTAGTTTGAATGTTGAAACGAGTCAGTTTGGAACCTTAATTTTCCGGTCTTGTGTGGATACCTAGAAAGGAAAATGGCCAGATTTCTTGTTTGGCAGTGATAAGCTTGTGGTTGTATCCAAAATATTCACATTATAATGGTGAGATATTTTTCAAATTTTTGTAGTAATGGAAATGTTCTCACATTAAATTTAGAATCAACATAGTATCTACTATCGACTACAATAGATGCCAAGTGTCAAAGAAATTTTAATACCTACGTAGTTAAAGTTATTCACTAAATATCCGAACTTACTTTGGTTCTTTTGTTGAATCACCAAATCTAACTTTTTCGTCCGATTAGACTCTAAACGTTGGATTACGGTCCACTGTTAACCTAATGCTGTTTTAAAGACTTGTAAAAGATATATCAAGGCCCTAACTGGTAACTGAAGATTTGAGGAATGTTGAAGATTGTTGCTGAATTCTTTTTACAAAACACCAGTTGAGAAGAATTGAAGAATTCTGGAATGCTAAGAAAAAGATAAAAATCACAGAATGCTTTTGGAAATTATGACAAGTCTCACATTTGATATATCTCAAATATATATCTATTCCAAAATTTATTAAAAATTATACAAAAGGTTCATAAGAAAAATTAATGGAAGAGTGGTTTGGTAATGGTCTTAAACTTTTTTTTTTTGGTTCAAAGAGTCTTCCCTTTTTTCTCACTTTATATATATTAGAATATAAATTTACAAAAATCCACAATTATTATTACTTTTATTTATTTTCATGTATATAATTTCTATGATCAATTGAAAAATTACATTTAAAATTTGATGATCAATATTTTACTATAACTTAAATTATTTATAAAATTAATTAAGCAGATAGTTTGGTATTTCATTAATTATTCCAACAAATATATGTGTAATTATTTTAGATTTTTTTATAAAATATTTTAGTTGTTAAACTGGAATAATATTAATTATGATATAATTAAATGTTTTGTGATTTTCCCCCTTTTTAGGAATGGGAAAATTATCTGGCATCTGATCCGATCAACTCCGAATATTCGGGTTTTTGAAGTTTGTGAAACCGAATCTTGATAATAATATTATGGAAAGTATATTTTGTAATAATAATAATAACTATTGAATATTACAATTACATAATTTAATACAATTATTAAATTTATTATAGTTAACATAAATTACATCAGTTGTATATTTCTAAAACCAAATCACTCATTCATTTATTTATGAGTAAATGTTAGTTGTAATATAATATTATTGTTTTGTAAAGATAAATTATGTTTATATTTTATAAGGTTAAACATATATATTTACAATTTAATACCAATATTTAATGTACATTTTCAAGTTTAAATATATTATAGGATAGATTTTGAAATGAATTTTTTTTTTAAGTTATTCCGCATTCAGCAACATTCAGCAGTTACCATTCATAATACTAACTAATCAGCCAGATTCCGCAAAAAGTTATAATTTAATTCCGCCAGATTCCGCATTCAGCAACATTCCGCAGTTACCATTTAGACCCCAAGTTAAGGTGACCACTAATGAACACATGAGGTCTAAATCATTAAGAATTTTTATCGAGCCACAAAATCAAGTTCCTCTTTTAATACGATGTGATAACACACATTTACTATTCAAATGCATCAAGGTTGTCAATTCGTTTTGACCTTTTTGACGTATGAAAGACTTTCATTGAAAGTAAAGATATAAGCCAAGATAAACCAAAACAAGTTGTTCATATGACATTTGGAAATTTTTTTAAAATCAATTACACACATATAAATTCAATTTGAAATACAATATTTTCAATAATTAGCTTTACTAAACTACCCCAATATTTTTTTAAAAATATAAAACAGGAATATGCTATTGGATATTCTCTGTATTTAATTATACTCCCTCCGTTTTTTTTTTATAAATTTTCTAGGATTTTCACACATATTAAGGAAAAACAAATTTTCAATCATTAGTGTATTGATTTCTGCAATAAAACAACTTTTTATAATTTTTAACCAATAAAAATCTAACAAATACAATCATTATTTCTTGAAAATTGAAAAAGTGTTTAAAAAAAATAGAAAATTTATCTTTGTGAAACAACAACTAATATCTAGAAAATTCATTTTAAAAAAATCGGAGGGAGTATTTCCTAAGATTTTTGTTTATATTCAAAGTTCATTTTAGAAAAAAGTTACAAAATTAACGTAGGAAAGACCAAACATGAAATATATTGTTGCCATCTGTCAACATGCTATCAAATTAGAAGATTTTATTCTTCTTTTGTTTTTAGGGTTTTGTTTATTTTTAATTCGTTTGAAAATTGAAAAAGACGCTCGTCTTTCCAAAATTTAAAAACGCGCCTCTTCACATTTCGTCTCCCTCTCTTTATATTTCCCCCAATCTCTCTTTCTCTCTCCATCACATCTCAAATCTCGGAAACAACAATCTCTCTCCATTTCTCTCGTTTCCATTTCTCTCATCCAACAATGGCGCAGTATCCTTGCAACGAAGAGGGAGTGTGCATGCGCTGCAATCTGAAGCCTCCGGTGGAGACTGAGTGCCTCTTGTGCAGCACGTGCGGTACGCCTTGGCACGTGGCTTGTCTCTCGTCCCCTCCCAAAACCCTAGAATCGACTCGGGAGTGGGAGTGCCCCGACTGCTCCGGCGAAGATGATCCCGTCCCGGTTTCCGGAATCGCCGGAGTTGATTCCAACCGCTCTGTCCTTGTTGCAGCGATCCGTGCGATCGAGGCCGATGAGTCCTTGACTGAGGCGCAGAAAGCGAAGCAGAAGCAGCAGCTGGTGAGCGGCAAAGTCGATGAAGACGATAACGACGAGGAGGAGAAGGAAAACGAAGGGGGAAATACCGGTGAAGATGTCGATGTTTTAGCTGCTCTTCGTCAGAGTTTCATGTGTGTTATCTGCCGCGATTTGCCTGAAAGGCCAGTCACGGTTCGTCTTCTCTCTCACTCTAGATCTGGATCTCGCTTTACTCCTTCATCGATTAAATGCCTCTTATGCTCCTGATTTTAAATCTTGTCACTGAATTTGGTTGATTATGTTCTCATTCTCTACATTTAGTAGGTTCTGCTCTTAAACTCCTGCTATTGAGTTTCGTGATGCTTCAAATCCAGTAGTCAAACTCTTACTTTTAGGTTTTATTTTGTTTCTGCTTACCATTTGTGGCAATTGCTGGAATAAGATCCCATTTGTGTCATTAATACTGTTTCTCTCTCATTTGGGTTGTATTGTAGGTACCATTATTGGATTATACTGATTGATAGTAATATCTTTGCCGATTATAATTGTTATGCAATGTAGATGTACAATTTGTTTGATTGCTTGATCTATTTACTTTTAGGTTTGCTGTGTATTTGATGCTGTGAACTATGCATAATAACAGTGGCAATCATGTGTTTGTTTAGACATTACTGTGGCTAAGGATGATTGATATTTAACTAGTATTAATGGATATCTTGTACATGTCTTTTGCAGACACCGTGCGGGCACAATTTCTGCCTCAAGTGTTTCCAGAAATGGGTTGCGCAGAAGAACCCTACTTGTGGGAAATGCCGTACTGCAATTCCAAAGAAGATGGCAAACAACCCTCGCATTAACGACTCTCTGGTCTCTGCCATTCGTCTGGCGAGGGTTTCCAAATCTGCTCCTGTGGGCGGCACTGCCAAAGTGTATCACTACGTCAGCAACCAGAACCGTCCTGACAAGGCTTTCACTACTGAGCGGGCTAAGAAGACAGGGAAAGCCAACGCAGCTAGCGGCAAGATTTACGTGACTATTCCTCAGGATCACTTCGGTCCCATTCCAGCTGAGAACGATCCAATCAGAAACCAAGGCGTCTTGGTTGGGGAATTTTGGGCAGACAGACTTGACTGTAGGCAGTGGGGAGCTCACTTCCCACACGTTGCTGGCATTGCTGGGCAAGCAGAATATGGAGCTCAGTCAGTGACACTCTCTGGAGGCTATGCAGATGATGAGGATCACGGAGAGTGGTTTCTCTACACTGGAAGGTAAAGCTGCTTTTACGCTCTCTATTGATTTCATTTTTGTTTGTCCATTCTGTCTTCTGTTCTTGCCTTGAATATGTGTGTGAATGTGTCTTTGCAGTGGAGGAAGAGATTTGAGTGGGAACAAAAGGACCAACAAGGTTCAGTCTTCTGACCAAAAGTTTACATCTTCAAATGAAGCTCTCAGACTTAGCTGCAAAATGGGATATCCTGTCCGAGTTGTCAGGTTAGCTGTTTCTCACTTTCTGCAGTCTCTTGGATGATTCTCTCTCAATACAATTTTCTTGATTGAATAAACATATCGTTCGGCTAAACTGGTTGCTCTTGTTTCCTTGATTCTTACCAATTATCAGGTCTCACAAGGAGAAGCGATCTGCTTATGCACCTGGGGAGAAAGGAGTAAGATACGATGGTGTTTACAGAATAGAGAAATGCTGGAGGAAAGTCGGAGTTCAGGTTTGAGATAAAAGCTAAACAATCATAAATATTTCCTTTAATGCAGCGATTTGGCTTGATTTCCTGACCTATTCTTCTGTTTTCTGTTTTCTGATAGGGTAAATATAAGATGTGTCGTTACCTGTTTGTCAGGTGTGACAACGAGCCAGCTCCTTGGACTAGGTTCGATCCTCTTTTGTTTTGAAAGCGCCATTATTTGTATTGTTGCTTACTTAGTTATGCTCACAGTTGAATTATACTCTGCAGTGATGAGCATGGTGATCGTCCAAGAGATTTGCCTAACATTCCAGAGCTCAAGATGGCCACTGACCTGTTTGAGAGAAAGGAAAGCCCATCATGGGATTTCGATGTAAGCAAAGCCCCTCTTTCTTTTCTTGATCTAATTCCAAACGATAACAGTTTTGAGCAGACATTGTATTGAGTTATCTGTAACACTCTTGTTTTTTAACTTGTTTAGGTTTCCGAGGGTCGATGGAAGTGGATTAAGGCTCCACCTGCTAGCAAAAAGAAGGTCGCTGCTATGGATCCTGAGGAGAGGAGGAATATGAAGAGAGCCATAAAGGCTGCACGAAACAACTCTGTGAGAGACCAACTTTTGAAAGGTCTGCTTTTCCGTTTCTCTTTTGCATATCTACTGGTTATAAATGTTATCGTCCTCTTATGGCAACATCTGAACTATCATATTTGGTTTTCTTAATTTGTTGCCACAGAATTTAGCTGTACCATCTGCCGGGATGTCATGAATGTTCCGGTGACAACTCCTTGCGGTCATAACTTTTGCAAAGGGTGTTTAGAAGGGACCTTCGCTGGGGTTTCTCATGTGAGAGAGAGGAGTAGAGGCGGACGCACTCTCCGAGCTCAGAAGAACGTGATGAAGTGTCCTCGCTGCCCTACTGACATTTCTGACTTCCTTCAGAATCCTCAGGTTAGTAAATAATCTCTTCTTCTCTTCCATTGTTCTTGTGTATTAGTTAACAAACGAATTGTCTTCTTCTATAACCGTAAACTTGAATACTTTGTGTATTTGATTCATCACGTAGCACAGCAGATGATCAACTGTGTTAGTATCAGCAAAGAATGTCATAACATATAAATTTGTTGATGTTCGTTCGTTATATTTGGATAATTTATTGGAGCAACATCTTAAAACCAGACTGTTTCATCTTGTATTGCGATTGTGTAGGAACAGTTTATACATGAGTTTATAACTTGTTTGTTGTAAATGACATGGGCTAACATGAAATGGTGTGATGAACAAATAGGTGAACATAGAAGTGATGAACATGATAGAGGCGCTGAAGAAGAAAGCGGAGGAGCCAACCCCAATCCAAGAAGTTGGAGAAAGCTCTGGAACCGCAGGTGAAGAAAACAGCTCTGGAGAAGAAGAAGAGTCTCAGATGGTTGGCTCTGAGGATGAGCCACCACCTAAGAAGAAGAAGCTATCTGTGTGAGAGATCGTATTAGAGTCTTTTATGTATAATCTAAGGAACTCTATCTCTCTGCTTTACTCATCTCTATCTCTCTCTCTTTTGGTTTTGTGATATTCCCTTTGTGGAAAGTGCCTATTTCGGCTTTATTACTATGATGGTCCTTGTTTTGTATCAAAAATGGAACCTTTATTCTATAATTAATGTACTTTTGATTAACAATTTCTCTTATCTCTTTATGTGTTGTTATCAGTGATTTCTGAAACTTGTTACTTTCTTTTGTGCAACTCATAATGTAATTAACAGTTTTAAACAAAAGCAACACCAATCGCCTTTGTTCTGAATCGGCCACGATTATTGCAGAGTTTCTAAGCGACAAGTATTTGTCAAGACAAGACACATATTTCTCACCAGACCAAACACATATGTCAAGTTTTGAAACAAAAAGCCCGTTCAAAGCCCAGTTACTGACGAAAACGAGATATTACAAAGCACGGCGTCGTTTGAATTAGATACGTTTAACCTTTGTTTTTGTTTATTCTCTCTCCTACGCAGACTTCAAAGGCAAAGTTGAAAACACAAAAGGTTGAAGAAGACGATAATCCCCTCTGCTGCAGAAAAGGTTTTGACTCTTTTTCTTATTTATATTGGTACATCACAATATCAGTCTCTGTATTATCCACTTTGAATCCTCAATACCAAAATGATTTTGCTGATGATAAATTCGTAACATAAAATGTTTAATTGCCGATCTCCTGAAGCTGCGATCAATCCAATTCGAAATTGATCTATCTAATTTCAATTTAGGCTAGCTCAGTTTTGCTTCTTGAGTCTTACCATGAGCAAACACATGATTCTGGAGAAACGAATCTTTGCATTTTGGTTCCAAACTCTTACATTTTGACAATTCAATTGATTCCTTTTAGTAAAATGTTCTGTTTTCTTATGCTTTGATTTGTTCGAGAAAGTGGCATTGATAGTTTTGAGTATGTATGAATTTTGCTGTTCTTTTTTTTGGCTAAGTAAGTATAACTTTGAGGTCTGATTGTTGTCTCTTTACTTGATAAGGTCATTGTGAATGTCTGGAAGAAACCGAATTCACCGAGAGGTTCGAGAAAGTTTCCATGAAGTTAGAGACGGTTTCCATGACAGACGTCCTTTGCCGCCTCCAGAGAGACCCTTTCTTCGAGGTCCTCCATCGTTGTTAGAAGATCTTCAAATACAGGATGCTGAAATCAGAAGGCTTCTGAATGATAACCACAGATTAGCCGAGGACCGAGTGATCCTTGAACGAGAGCTCGGTGCTGCTAAGGAAGAGCTTCACCGGATGAATCTAATAATCTCTGATCTTAGATCGGAACAGGATCTTCAGTCGAGGGAGTTCAGTGAGAAAAGGCATAAACTTGAGGCTGATATTCGCGCCATGGAGTCTTATAAGAAGGAGGCTCTACAGCTGCGTGGTGACGTTCAGAAGCTGAATGACATGAAACGTGAGCTCAGTGGTGATGTTCAGATACTTAGGAAAGATCTTGTGAAATTGCAGTCGGATAACAAGCAGATTCCTGGTTTGAGAGCAGAGGTTAAAGACCTTCAGAAGGAGCTTATGCATGCTAGGTATAAGATTGTACCTTTTGTTTATCTTTCTGTTAGGTTTTGTAGTTGTAAATGCTAAAAATGGAGGCTTTTTTTTGTTTTGGAACAGAGGCGCAATTGACTATGAGAAGAAGGAGAAGTTTGAGCTTATGGAACAGAGGCAGACAATGGAGAAGAACATGGTTTCTATGGCGCGTGAAGTTGAAAAGCTGCGAGCAGAACTTGCTACCGTTGATAGTAGGCCGTGGGGTTTTGGTATGATCCTAAGATCTTTCTTGGGAACATTTGGTATTTTTCAAGTAGTCGCTCGCTACTATTTGCTCGGTTGTGACATGTTTATTTTGTCTAGGTGGATCATATGGGATGAATTACAACAATGTGGATGGCGCTTTCCGTGGCTCTTATGGCGGCGAGAACGATAGTTATTTGGTACTTTTGCTGACATCCTTGTGTTATTATCTATTCCCTGTGGACTTGTACTTTGACACAAATGTATTATTATTATTTTTTCTTGCTTTCTTAGGGATCTTCGGAAAGGAGTCAATATTACAGCCATGGGTCTGGCTCACAGAAGAAACCTCGTCATTGAAACTATACAAATGATCTGTGGAGAAAGAACGAGGTGAGTCTAGATAGGTCACTTTGTAACACTCCTCTGGTTGTTTGTGGGTATGCATCTATCCTAAACTAAATCTAAATGTTAGTTCCTTTGCCTTGAAAATAAGGCATTTTAATTATGTAAGTTAGATGGCTAAACTTTGTCATATCTTTCTATACCTTTTACCCTTTTTATTCTTCTGCTCGCTTTCTTTGCTCTCTGGTTTCGATTATTTGTAAACGATAATCCCTCTGGTAGAATCATCAGAGGAGTGCAGTAAGTTTGAGAAACCATACTGGCACTCACAAAAAGAGGGAGGTCTTTCCGACATTCCCCTCCTTGTGCTTCCAGCCCACACTTCTTCCTTCTCTTATAAATTTACATAGATCCGGTGATCTAACACCTTTCTGAGGGGGTTAGAGGTTTAAAGAGAGATTTGAGTCGAAGCTGTTGACCGTGGCCGCACTTTGGAGAAACTCTCAAGTTGCAATTGCTTGGGTGGTGGTGTTATTTATGTTTTAACTAGAAACTCACTGAAGATGAAGTGGAAAATTGGAAGGACATCCATTTTTAGATTGTGTCAGGAGGCAGCGTATCCTCATTAGAATTTCTTCAGCTTGCTTGGTCAAGTTTATGTCCGTAGTGTCAGTGCTGATTCAATGGGGAAAGGGAACGAGGCACAGTACACTATTGGAGGTTTAGAGAAATATTGATCCTCTATGGTCATCTGACCATCATGAGCAGTTTCTGAGAAATCATTCTGGGATTCTAATCACGCCCTTCTGGGAGGATCAGGCCAATCAACTTCCACCAGCTGAGCGAAATCCACTCTTGAGGGTCATCTGGATCAGTATGAGCGGGATCTATCTTTCAGGAAGAACTTTGACAAGGATTGTTTGAGCAAGGTGTTCTATCTGAGATGAGCGATCGTCATCCTTACCTGCGACAGCATCTGTGTGGAATCTAAGTTCTGCAAGTAGTCTTGGACGTGGTCAGAGTTACCAACCCGACTGCCCACGTGAAATGTTCTGGTGGATAGGGAATATATACTCCAAAGTTAGGAGGCTTGGTGAAGATTCTGACTCATGGATGACAGATGGATCTGTAGAAGACAAATCAAAGCGACTTTTCATGGAGTTATTTCATCAGAGACATGGTAATCAGTCTACAGAGTCATCAAAATCTTTTATCAGCTTTTGGGACAGCTGCATTTGCTGAAGGGCGGGCCAACAGGTTACAATCTGCCTAGATCTGAAGTATTTAAAGGTGGGCAAACAGCCCATACCGACTCTATTAGGACATTGTTGACAGAGTGTGCAGACTTGTTCCATATTAGTATGCAACTTCTAGAGAGTTGGCATCTTAGTCTGAAGGTTTTCACGATGAGCAGGAGAGAAAATCTTTGTACAGGAGTATAGTGGCAAATAAGATATGATCTTACGGTGGTGCATCTTAGGAATAGCTACTGTTTTTGGGTCCTATTAGTTGCTTGAAGAGATTAACAGCTCTCTCTCTTCGTGGGGGTCACAAGCTGCATGTCTAAGTGGAATTTGTCAGCACTGGCTTACTCTGCAGCAAGAAAGCTATAGTTTCAGAGTACCTGCAACATCTCCCATGATTGACTGTGCCTTCAGATAAAGGAACTTTTCCATATATCAAGAGATTGCTTATGGACTCGTTAATTATGTCGACACTACATCAGTTTTCGGGTATGCACTTTCCAAGGATGTTGATGTGCCTTACGAAAAGGATCTTCCTATGAGTCAGGAGACAGGTATACGATCTTTCTGAGATAACTCTCCTTACGACGAAGTTTATTTATTTTCTGGTTGTTAGCTATCGTTTTTGTTTGGCATATAGGTTTTCATGTCGTTAATTTTTTGCATAGAAATGCTTATATATACTCAGATGCATAGTGCTTCTTGTTTATGTACGCATCATCACTCTTGCCGTATTTGGAATTTCTTTAGAGCTGTGACAACTGAGGTTGAGCCATTTTCTTTTTAAGAGGATTTGTGAGACTTGTCTAGGTTACACATTAGAATGTCAACAGAAATGAATTGCTGGACTGATGGAGAAGTAGCTATTCTTGAAGATGATTCACTACATTTGCTTCTGGTGTTAGATGGAAGCAAGTTTCTGAGGTTGAGCCATTTTTTTAAAGAGGATTTGTGAGACTTGTCTAGGGTTCACATTAGAATGTCAACAGAAACGAATTGCTGGAGTGATAGAGAAGTAGCCGTTCTTGAAGATGATTCATTATGTTTGTTTCTGGTGTTGGATGAAAGCAAAGTTCTTTGGAATTGTCTTAAGACTCTTAACTATGTTAGTAACTTTCTGGAAGCTGCAAGAGATCCTTAGATAAGATAGATCCAGGATCAGCTTACTTAAGCCTGGACTTGACAGCTACCGCTCTAGTTTTAAAACCGGAGGTTACTTAGATTACTTCCCTCTTGATTTCCTAAAGACTCTGAGTAGTTTCCAGCTCAAAGATGAGTTAGAAATGGCTTACATCTTCAGAAGTCTGCGCTCGTCTGTTCTTATCAAGGAAAGATGGAACAGTAATTCTCTACAGATCAGCAGAGTCTAGATGAAGAACAGAACTATTAGACTAGATCTGCAAGAGGCCAATTTGTACAGTGCTGCAAAGATTCCAAGCTGACTATAGTGAATCTTATTGGAACAGTACAAGGTGCGAAAACGGAGATTTGTTCCCAACCATTAGATGAGCTTTGGACACGAAGAGGAAAGGATTGTCCATCAAATCTCCACACCGGTTTACTTGTTAGACATAAATCTAGAGAAATTCTGTCTGTTGTGTGACTTAGCATTATATGCTTTGCATAACTTTACCCTATCAGAAAGCTGCTCTTCTTGGTTTATACAGGTTTTGATTATTCTTTTCCTTGCTGCAGGCAATACAGAACACGAGGCCATTCATGTACTAATTGGAACCGACAAAGGAACCAAAGTGAGTAATCTTTAGAAATTCTTCTTATAGTTACCTAACAAATATAAGCATTTATCAACATAACCAACAAGTTGAAATGTTAATTCTTACATAAATATTGCAATTTATGATCTAAGAATCATTTTATTTTCAGGTTGTGAGAACCGGAGGCAACATCTTGGACCTCTTCCCTTTAACCAACGTCTTGGTATCAGGAAAAACTCCATCTCCAACTTCCTCAACCACACCGTCTCTTGTGACACTGATCGGATACGCAACCAAATGGACACCGAGCATGTCTACGACCTTGTCTCCGCTATAAATCTCCCACATCCGCTCTCCCATTGTCCGCAACCCTCTGACGCATTCAACACTCTCTGGCTCTGAATATGATAGCTCACCCGTACTGATCTGTCCACCGGTATGCTCGTACCAGAGCGCTAACCGGTAATCTCGGATTTCACTAGCGTTGGTTGCAGTATCGGCTTCTTGGTAGCAACCTATTGCAATCTCCGTGTCTCGACAACCGTCCATTGACCTCTGGTTTATATTCGCCGACCCTATCAAAATGTATGCGTCGTCCACTACAAAAACATACAACATTCTCTTTCATTTGAATCTCAATCGCTTATAATAGTCTTAACGAATCTTTTTCATTCCAGATTGTTTACCTATCATGAGCTTGGAGTGGACATAGATCATGAATCTCCGATTCCTCTGCGCGTTCCAGTATTGCGTGTTAGGATGCGGCGACGAAGCTGCTTCAAACTCTCCGTCTCTCTTCTCTTCTCTGTTCGCTAAACAGAAGAAGTTTAGATAATCCCTCGGATGAGACCCGTCTCCACTTTCCCATATCGCCTCTCCGATGATCCGATACATCATCGACATGGTCTCTCGCGTCCAATGAAGCATCTCTTCCACCGTTTCGCTCTCCGGTGGCCCTTCCGGCCACATTGGTATCACTATATACACCGCAAATCTCTCTTTCTCCCGTATCTTCGCCGCGATCTTTAACGCTATTTCGACCGGTATCAAGTTCTTGCATCCGCTGCTGATTCTAAAAACGAAAACTAAAATCAGATCATCAGAATTACACAGAAGATTACTTAAAAAATCCGAAATCATTCGTACTTATCGTTCTTGTTCTCCCAGTGATCGCAGCTCCCCATGAAATACTGATTCTCAATGTAAATAAACCTCTCCGCCTTTCGAATCGCTGCTACGTAGCCGTCGTGTACGCTCTTCTCCACCGGTAAGCCTCTTGGCATCTCCGTCGCCGACACGTGGTCTATCGATCTCAGAACCTGAACGTTCCATTTCCGGTCATCTTCCTCCTCTGTGGTTCCCGGTACGGTTCGGTTTACTAAATTTTTGATCCCTGAAGTATTAACCAACACCGAAGGGTTACACTGTTTGGTCCATCTCTGTTCGAAGTTCTTGAGAACATCCCAAGCCGCTCCTCCGACCACGCACGTGTGGCAATCGTGCCAGGGCTCTCTTGGTCCTCCTCTGCTTAGTTTAGCTCCGGCGACGCTTGTCTGATAAAAATCATCCCTTGTCCCGAGTGTACGGAACAGAGAATGCGCCTCTGTGTCGTATCGACCATCGCATAGATCGAAACCGCCGAGGAAGCTCATGATTTCTCGCTCCTTGGTGTTCGTATTCGTTACACGTGTGTCCACTGTGATCGTCTTTTGGTGGTGTGCGAAAGCCGTAGGGAGCTTCTTGTGCAATCTTGGACATAATCTGCAAACAACGTTTGTGTCTTTGAAGTAAGCAAAAGCTGTCTGGTCGTTTGTTCGCATTAGACCTTTATTCTTGATCATCGGTAAAGACGTCTCGTCGCTCCACAGCATTACTCTCACCGCTACGCCTTCGTGAGCTTTCCGTTTCAGAAGCTCGCCGATCGTTACTCCAACAGCGTGCGGAATCTCTGTGTCCTTGTCTCGTACGAGAACGAGGTTAGGGTTTAAAGCCCATCCTGCGATGTAAACCAAATGCCTAGCGCTTTCTATCGCTTTGTAAACATCTTCCCATAGATTTCTTGCGTTAGAAGAAACATCGTGAGCCCTAGGATCAAACGTAACTCTATGGTGCGCATCTTGATACAATACGACTCTACAATTCGATCTCTGTGGGAAGCTTGCATTCCTAATACCTTGAAAAGACTGTCCCTCAAGCGATTTGCACCATCCCGGTTCGAGATAAGCCGGTCTGAACCACATCATGAACTTGAGCTTTAAGTTAGGTTTAGTTGATCCGTTGTCTGCGACCAGAGAGAAGAACCCGTTGATAACTGCTGGATCAGAAGTAAGAATCTGTTCTGCAGAGATCCGAAATCTTCCGAGAGCTGAACACTGAGTCTTGAGCGTGATGGTGACCGTCGTGTCAGTGATCGGGTGAGCGCAGAGGATCTGAAAAGTTTGGTTCCAGACACGGTCGTGTTCTGAGCTAGTTTTAGCAACTTTCTTCTTGTTTATCTTGATGGTCACGTAAGCTGGTTTTGGCTTCGTAAGTACACACTGTAAATAAGATAACAACAAAAAACTCATAAATGTTATAACAGAATGATAATATCATCATCATCATATACTTGTAGACTTACATTGAAAGGAAATGAAGGAGCAAAAGGTGTTGCATCAAAGATTGTAATCTCGAGTGTTCCATGGAAGAACTTTTTCTGATCTTCAAGCTCCATCTTCTCTTTATACAATATAGATCTCAAGAGATGAGCGGAATATTTTACTTTTTAGGGGGTAGTAGTCTTGAAAGAAAATAATGAATCTCAAGTGAGCTGGTCGATTAGTAGATTATACACAAAGGTGTGTGTCCATATATATATACTTTGAAATGTTATTAGTAAAACTTGTAGGTTTCTCCATGGACAATCTTAAAGAAAACATTCAACCATATATATGAAAAAAAAATTGTAGGTGAAGTGTCTTTGAATACAAATCAAAGCATTCGACTTTGGTTTAAAATCTCGAATTTTATAAAGCAATGTATTAAATTGTAGCGAAACAAAAGCTAGGGACTAAAGTAGAGAAAATATGAAAAACTATGGTCGTCTTTGTAAATAGTTACGTAGGACAAGCCACGTGTAACAATAAAGCGTTGCCAGAAAAATGCACTTTGGGACCCAGTTTTATACGCTCGGTGGCTGATTACAATAGTATAATCGCTTTAATTTATGCCAAAACAAACACTAATCTGCCAGAAACTAACTAAACCTTTTTAATTGAAAGTTTGAAACAGTATACAGATGAATTTATTTGAGTTTTTCTTATTGGTGAAGGAAATGTCTCCACGATGCTGACTATTGTTAACACAGATTGTTTTATTATTTCTCAAATAATTTTTTGCTTGTTTTGGTCTAATAAATGTAAACAAATGCATTATGATTAGTGATAAACCATATCATACCTGTGTAATAATTTTTGCAAATGTAGAATAGTTGTTACTTTTCTCCTCTGATGGAAATTAAATTATCCTCAATTTGTAGTATTTGATATTCTCTATATATAGCCTAGCATTTATGTTTTTATTTGGTTAATCTGTAGTTTGATACTGTATGTGACATTTATGCCTGGCAATTTATATATTTCTTTTTTCCAGCAACTATATAATTATACTAAAATCATTTTAGTTTCCTTCGTCTCTCCAATCTCTCTCTGACTCTCTCTATCTCCGGGCTCTAATCTCAAAATGACGAACTACGGCGCGATTCCGACGTCGTCTCACCCATCGCTGGGAGTGGATCTCGAGTACATCTCACGGGCCAAACACCGTATAAAATCCGGTCTCGCCACGCGCCGCCCATGGAAACTGATGTTCGATTACGATTCCATGACCGTCCCTCACGGTTTCTTCGACGCGATCTCGAGAATCAAAACGAATCTCGGCTACTTCCGAGCGAACTACGTCATCGGAGTCCTCTTCATCCTCTTCATAAGCCTCCTCTACCACCCGACCTCGCTCCTCGTCTTGGCCATCCTGGTCGTCTTCTGGATCTTCCTCTATTTCCTCCGCGACGAGCCTCTCATAGTTTTCGGTTACCAGATCGACGATCGGACGGTCATGGTCGCTCTCTCGGTTTTGACCGTCGTTATGCTTATGCTGACTCACGCGACGGTAAATATCCTCGGATCGCTGTTGACAGCCGCCGTGTTGGTCCTGGTCCACGCGGGGGTGAGAAGGAGTGACAATTTGTTCCTCGACGAGGAAGCTGCGGCGGCGACTGAAGTCTCAGGGCTTACGTCATACCCTTCGTCTTGATCTTTCCCAATTTGTTCTTCTTTTTGTATGTTACAATGTGAGATTTTGTGTGATTGAAAATGCTTGAAAACGTTCAGTTTCTTTGACAAGTTACATTTTGATTTTTTCACTTTTATGTTTTGTTGTTAGTTCTAAATCCAATCGCTCCAATTGGTAATTTTACTAACGATCGTGCCTTCATTTTCAAAGGAGCAAAAACAATAGAGACGCATTTAGCTACTTCATCATTAGTTGTGATCTTCGATCTCTCTCAATCGATAATCTTCCAGAAGTGTCATTAATTGCCATATCTCCTTCCAATAAACGCAACACCTTCAACAACAAGAAAAACAGACACACTTAGTCTGAGAGAGTGTATTATATTTTGCTTTGACTTAAAGATGTTTGTTTCTTTGTACCTGAGACATACGAGGACGCAAATGTGGATCTCTACGTATACACAATGAAGCTGTATGAATCATACAGATGATTTCTGTTTCTGAATATCGCTTCTCTAGCCTCGGATCAATCAATTCTTCCACCGCATACTCTTCTAATAAAGATCGTGCCTTGTAAAGAAAGAAACTTTTCGATTTCATTTTACTAAAAGACACTCAAAATAAGCTTAAAGATAGATTTCATTTTTACCCATTCAGTCAAACATTGTTGTCCCTTTGGCCTGTAGATATCCATGGCTTTACGACCCGTGATTAGCTCGATTAACACAACCCCAAACGAGTAAACATCAGCTTTCTCTGTGATTTGTCCACTTTGAGTATACTCTGGAGCTAAATACCTAAACAAAACCATACACACAAACTAATTAACTGAGAAATTGTAGGTTTCTTGAGTTAGAGAAATGCTGATTTTTAGGTCACAAGTTTTATACCCGAAAGTTCCTATTACACGTGTGTCTACACCGAGCTCTCCATCAGGCTGCCACCGAGCTAAACCAAAATCTCCAACCTAACAGAAAACATGGATCAAACTAATATTTTGAAACAAAATATGTAAACTTTGTTCTTGTAGCCATTTTATAACATACCAGTGGTTCATAATCATGAGTGATTAGTATATTGTTAGGCCGCATGTCTCTGTGAACAATGCAACCCACTCTACACTCTTCATGAAGATATCTAAGACCTCTAGCCGCTCCAACCGCTATTTTCTGCCTTGCAGTCCATCCCAAAGTACCCTTTTGTCGACCTGAATAGACATTTCGTTTCATGGAAGTTAGCTAACAGAATCTTGACAAGTTCTTGAAACTCTAGTACAAGAATGGATAAAGATTTACCGTAAAGATGAGAGTCTAATGATCCATTGCATATGTATTCATAGACCAAGAGTCTTCTACTTCCTTCGATGCAGAAACCGATTAACATAACAACGTTTCTATGCTGAGCACAGCTCAAAACTTCTACTTCAGAGCAAAACTCTACATCTCCTTGACTACTTGCTACTTTGTGTTGCTTCACTGCGACAATCTGTCCTTCAGGTAACACACCTCTATGAACAGATCCGAATCCTCCTTCTGCCAAGAAATTACACTCTGAAAACCCGTTTGTTGCAACCTCTAGCTCTTTGTAGGAGAAAAGCCTCGGCGGTTTTCCAAATTTAGGCGCTTTGTGCTGACAGATAGAACAGAGAGGAGGTGGAACAGGAGGAGCATTTCTTGATAGCGAAATTGCTTCTCTTAAGCTTCCACTGAACTCATCCAAATCACTCCTTCTACTCGTGGAGGGTAGTGATGACAGATCTTCGCTCTCTGAATCAGAATCTGATTCTTCATTCTCTTCGAGTACCAAAGTTTCATCCTTTTTTACTTCAACTGTGGAAAAAGGCGATGATGTTCCAATATCAGAGCTAGACACAGATGAAGTAGTACCTGTGAATGTTGTCCCAACCTCAGGGCTGCTCATAGGAGTTGTTGTAACCACTGCTCTAACTGAATCTAACGACCTGTTTTTGTACTTTTCAGATGCTGATTCTGCTTTATTTGGTAAAGCACACTCTTTCACTTCATCTTTTGTTGGTGAGCCGACCAAGTTCAAGCGCAAAACTTTTGCCTGAGAACGCTGCTTTATCGCCACAATGTTACATTGTAGCTCATCAAGGCACATTTTCTCTTCTTGCTTAAGATGTCTGTAACAAAAACCATTTCAACCACACAGAGAGAGAGTGGAAGCAAACGAACTCAAGAATGAGGTTAGAATTAGTTACTTACTTATCAAGAACCACCCAATTTGCTTGCAGTTTCATTGCCTCAGACGCAACAGCTCCACATGGTGTTCCAGAGACAATCTTGATCCTGACATTAACCTTTCAAAGAAACAAGTAATGAGAATGACTTTTCATGTTTCAGAATGTCACATCATTTCAAGGTTAAGTAAGAAACCTTGTTTGGATCATAGACATCATGAAGCTGGAGAATCATTTGAGAACAAGTATCAGTGAGATCACTCTTTATCTCAGGAATTGCATCAGAATGAGGTTTCCGATGACGACTTGCACAATCTCCAGCAAACCTTGGGAATGTCCATAGCTTTCGACCTAAGAATTTCAACATACAAACAAAAAAAAAAAGATAATGAATTTATAGAGACCAAAACTGTTTAGAGTACCAAAGAAGAGAAAAGTACCAACCAGCATTGTGAGAAGTGACAACAACAATGAGAGTAATGCAATCTCCAGGATGAACAATATGAGTCAAAGCCCAAACCAATGCTGTCTTTGAAATCTCTCTAGATGCTTTCACAGCAACAAGAACCTTCTCTGTCCCATTAGAACCTGATCTCTCCTCTTGTTTCCCTCCCATCATTTAAGACACAAATGCAACAAGGTTCCTCTCTCCCTCTCCAAGATTATTGATTTCTAATTGACCTTCAGAGATTTTATAGCTAGATATGATTATTGCATTATTGAGGCGAGTTGGACATCAAGACAGAACCAAACCAAACCAAACCAAACACACAGTGCTTAATTTGCAGATGAATACAAAACTCAAGAGACATGACAAGACCTCTCACTCACCACTCTCTTCTAACTGAATCACATAAACTTCAAAACACAAAACACAAAACACAAAACCCTGAAACAAAAAATCCCTCTTTAGAGATCTTTTGGGGGACTTTGAATCAAAAAGTTATTTGTACCCTTTTGATAAAAATCAAATTTTTAGACTGAAAAACTCACAAGGATCCGAAGAGACACACTATTCTCCTCTATCCAATCACTCAAATCTATATCCCCTTTTCTGTCAAATCACTGAGTCAATGTTTGTTTCTTAGAGTAACAGACAGAGGAAATGAAGTCTTGGATCTGACCCCCTTTCAACAAGAGAGAGGTCGAAAACAAATCAAATCTCTCTGCTTCTATCTGCTTTCATCAGAATCTGCCAAAATCTTCAAAATCACACCTTCAATAAGAGAATGAAATTAATTAATATTGAAACGGGAAAATTTAAAGAAACTGCCAAAATAACTATCCTTTAGACTATAGCAATGGAAAGAAATTAATAGTTTGAATTAAATCCTTTCTGAAATACACAAAACAATCATGTGTATATTGTACAACCTGCATCATATGGACGTTATTACTATTATAAAAATACAAAATTTCTCACCAAGTTAAGCATTCATATGTTTCACCGCCATGAGAACGAGCAAAGAGGACAGAGAGAAGAAACAGAACATTTATATGATCTTTACTTGACGCATTGATTTCGCAATGTTTTGTCTGACTTGGAAGTTATTTGCTTTCACATCAAAAGCACGTTTTTAGAGATAGAAACAAGACAGTGTAGAAAATCTAGAGAAGAAGCAGCATAAATGCTTTGCTCAGATAGAAACAACAACTAAAGCGCGAAAATGTGCATCAGCTTTTTAGGGCTCTGTATTTGCAACACACAGTATTAGGAAAAAAACACTCAAAACCACTGTGTGTGTTACTGACTTACTGTTAAGTAAAACAAAAATTATACTTATAATAGTTAAAGAGTCATTTTAATTTTTCTCATTCCCAATGCTCCTTTGTTACACGAGATAGTCAAGTGATTAGCCCTCTTTTTTATATTAAATGTTACATGACGTGAACACGATCTTCTTCTACACACAGTTAACATGTTATAGTGCTTGGAGTAATGACTTGACAGAATTTTTTACTTCATATCGCACATTTCACCATTCAACATTTAAATTTTGAAAGGAACAAAATCATTTGTTTTCTAACAATAAGTTGATACATTCATCGTCCGATATAATTTTGTGTTCCGTAGCACTCTTTAATGGTTGTCTTTATGTATTTTGTGCATTGTGTGTCATTGATAAAGTTGAGAGCTGTCACCATCACAGGACCATTGTACGCTGCGTTTTCTCCGACTAGTCAATCACCTCCGATTGTTTAAAACTTTAAATAGCTACGGCTGTTATCAGTCTCGTCTTGTCACACTTGATAAGCTTATTAGATTAAAATAATATTTTAAAACAAACTAAGTAATACAGTATAAAAAAGATCTTACAAACATTAAACGAGCAGATACAATAGCGTTTTAGTGGGCGGCTGACAACGAATAACACATAGACTCTGATGAATGGTAAACTACTACTCTGATCCCACCATAAATATAATAAAAGTTCTTTTGTAATCAAGTGTTTATATTTTTTTTTCCAGCTGAAATCTTTCCACCAAATAAAAAAGTGGGAAATATATCGCTAGCTTAATTGGGCTATTGTCAAATTTCTTTTACTTTTTATCCCACTTATTTACTCCAAGTTGCCATGTTGAATTTGGTTTTAGAATTATATTGAACTGAGAAAAACTACAAGATATTAAATTCCAATCAACCTTATAAATAAGACCATAACAACCCAATTCAAGATCAAAGATAAAACCAAAATTCCCAAGTAGAAAGAAAACATATATAAGTAAAATACGATGATGAAATACTAAACCACAAAATAAAATAAAAACCTTTTATGAAAAAAAAATCGGTGAAAAACGAAAATCATCAAAGTCTATGCCTACATAAGGGAAACTAAACCTTATAACACAACAAAATTCAAACTATATATATATGGAACTAAATATAGGTTTAACCAAAATCAAGAACAACACCAACTCACACTAATGTATGCACAAGGGAAGCCCTACTTCAAACTTCTAGAGAACATTCGTAGACCTCAACCGTAAATGCCTTCGGTCAGACTATGGTCAGAGAGACCTCACTCTTCCCTGAAGACATACAAATTACTCACAAAACATAACCTTCCTAACACGCCAAATAGTAAAGATACGAAACAAACCGGAAAACAGCAGGCTCCAAAGACAAAAGAGGTGAAGATCGATCAGGGTTTGGGCACATAAGGGCAGGGTTTTAGGTTTAGGGAAGGGTTTAGGGTAGATCAGGTTGGAGGGTTTAGGGTTTATCAGGTTTTAGGGTTTATAAGGTTTTAAGGTTTAGGGTATATAAAGGTTTAGGGTTTATAAGGTTTTAGGGTTTATAAAGGTTTATGGTATATAAGGGTTTAGGGTTTATCAGGTTTTAGGGTTTATAAGGGTTTAGGGTATATCAGGTTTTAGGGTTTACAAGGTTTTAGGGTTTATAAGGGTTTAGGGTTTATCAGGTTTTAGGGTTTATAAGGGTTTAGGGGTATATCAGGTTTTAGGGTTTACAAGGTTTAGGATTTTAAGAGTTTAGGGTATATAAGGGTTTAGGGTTTATCAGGTTTTAGGATTTTTAAGGGTTTAGGATATATCAGGTTTTAGGGTTTACAAGGTTTTAGGGTTTATAAGGGTTTAGGGTATATAAGGGTTTAGGGTTTATCAGGTTTTAGGGTTTAGGGCTTTTCGCTTAAACCCTAAACCCTACTCGCAAACCCTAAACCTATGCCCTAAACCCCCTATGCTATAACCCTACCCTAAAGCCTCCTTATGCCAAAGTTGAAACCCTAAACCACCTATGGCTGCCCCTATAAATTATTAAGAGAGTTGTAATGATTTTTTTTTGTTAAAGTTGTCATGTATTATTGTTGTGGATATATTTTTTTTTTCAGTATGAATATACATTTTCACTTAAACAAAGACATTTCATATGTGAGCTAGTTAAAATCAAAACGAATTAAATTATTTGGGAAATCTGAAAATACTATCTTGATGAAAATTACTTTAAGAGAAGCAAGAGATTTGATTTCAAATGTGGATATATTTGATTTCTGAGAAAACCAAAAAAAAAAAAAAACAGGGGAGTTGCCTTTAAAAACCAAAATAGAGATAAGGATTTGGGAATTTGTTCAGATGTAGGAGAGAAGTATTGGATGAGGCCATGAGGTTTTCTACTCTCTAAACCAAAATAGAGATAAGGATTTGGGAATTTGTTTAGGAGAGAAGTATTTGATGAGGCCATGGGGTTTTCTACTCTCTAAACCACTGATTCAAAGAATTTCTTGAGTGAAGTTGAAAAACAAGAACGAGCTAAGATGAGACTTTCATTTTTACGTTGTAGAGAGTGTGAGTGAGGAGTGAGGAGTGAGACTAAACCCAATTATTTATAGAGTAGGTTTCCAAAACTAGCCGTTTTGATTCTGAAGTCCAAGTTACCTTTATAATTCTTACCGTTTTAAAACTTTACAACGGCTAGTTTCTGAATCTTCTGAGGTGGTAGTGGAACCGAGAAGAAGAAGCCACGTCAGCAAGGGAAACGGTAACAATGTTTTGTAAATTACTAAAAACACCCTTTTAAATATTATCTCTCGCCTAATAACCGATACGCCGTCGTTTCAGCTAAGTCCACCCCCGGCCATTGGGTCTGACCCGACCCGTAAATATCCCCTGAGGCTGAAACAGAGAGAAACTATCTTAAACCCTAAATGTCCGATCTCAATCGGATTTTGATTCTGACTCGAACTCCTTCCAATGGCGTCTTCTTCTAAAGTATGCAGATTATCATCGAAGATACATTCTTTAACCCAGAAGCTTGGCAAGACGTCCATACCCTCTCCCATTAGATCTTCATCTCCATCCTCTGCAACTTCCCATATCAATCGATCTTTTAGGTTAGTGTTTTTTCCAGTAATTTCGCTGTCCATCGTAAACGAAACCAGTTAGCTTTGTTTAGTTTTGTTGGCTGTTTTTGCTGAAAAGGTCAACCTTTTGGAAATGTTTTGATGTGATCATGAAGTTTTGCTTATAATCTCGAAACCATCTGGGGTTTTCAATATGGGATTGGTTTTGAAATTTTAATTGGATGAAATGTGAACAGATTGCCAGTGGAGCTGAGTAGCTGTGTATCACTGTATCCGCTACACAGCGCAATAGCATCAGCTAGATTGATATCAAGCTTGTCTGTTGAATCTAAGAGCTGGGGCTTAGTTCCTCAAGGTCAGTCTTCTCCTCTCTCTCTCTCTCAATTGATATTCTGTATCTTTTTTCTTGGATGATGTTGCTGTCGTCTCGTCTGCCAGTTCTAGTGTAATCATACCCCCAGATTTAGACACCAGTTCTCGATTGCCGAGTTAACTTGCCAATTTTAGATTATGCTAGCTTTGCTTATCCGTGTGAGTCTCATGAACTTGTCTCCTATCTTTACCAATGATTGTTTTACGTCCTTGCTTTGTTACTTGTCATGAAACACTCTGTTTTGATTGTCTAATGTAGTAACAGCTTTTAGTTTCATTATTGGTATGGCTCCATGTTCAATATTTTGGCCTTTTCATCATACAGTAATTAGTAATCGGTCAATGGTCTCACTCAGTCATCACCTTTTTTTTAACCCTGTTGTTTGCTTAGTAGCTCAATGTGTTTTAAAGTTTTTTTTTTTTTTTTTTTTTTTTTTTTTTTTTTTTTTTAACTTTGTGTAATCTGAAATTGCAGGTATTTCGATGCCTTTATGACAGTGTTTTTTCATCTTGCAACAAGTTTCCCTGAGGATATAAAGACATGAAAACAAAACTCGGCTTTGTATCTTTTCCTTTCATCTCTTATCGAATCCAAAAGATCCTGAATTTAGGACAGGTTTATCCTCACAACTCTCTGCTTAGATTGTCCCATTTTCAACTCGTCTTATCAGTTTAATGTTGCTGGCATGATTATAGTTTTTCGTGCAATTTCTCATCTTATTAGTCATAGATCATCGACCATCATGATTCATACAATGTTAATAATGTATTTGGCAAGTCAAAACTCTGAAAAATACAAAGCAGTTGAGATTTTCTTATTGACTTATACGTCTTTCCAAATTTCAACAAGAAAAAATAAACTGTAAGAACCGAAAACATACAGGATTTTACGAGTTTAGAAAAATCCATTAATTAAAATCAAGAGCTCCACAATTTTGGAGTCCCACGATCAAGATTAGATTTAGAGCTCACAAGATCACAACATGCATGGCGGCGCTTAATCCATCTTCTCCAATTGTTTTTTCGGTAAATATTTGTGCTCTCCTTGTTAAAAAAGTTGAATTTCCTTTTGCTATTAGGAATCATTCCTAATCGTGTTTAGTCTACTCTTCCTATATAACGACCTCTCTCATCTTTGAATTGAACAATATTGAGTCTGTTTTTGACAGATAAGAGTCTGTTTTATTTCGTGTAGTAGAGCTCCCTTCATGCCTCCTGTTCGTGCTTCCCCTCCATCACCAGGTATGAATGATTGTCTTGGTAATTTCTGGTTATAAACTAGTATGAATCTCTTGGAGGTTCGGGAAGATGTGGGTTTTGAGTTGCGGTTTTCAATTTCTTTATGTTTGTGTTTCAATTGACTGTTTACTTAATTATGGAATATCGAATCTCTAATTTTTGTTTTGTTACAATTTTAGGTCTAATGTTCGTCACGTGGGTGATAAAGGATTTCAAGTCTTTGCAACACCCAATTACGTCACCGGAATTCGAAAGCGGTGGCTGCAAATGGTAAGGAAGAAGAACAAATATAAATTGTCTTTTTTTTTCTTCATGGTTGGTTGAAAAATAAATAATTTTGGAATTCTGGTTTTTCAGGCGTGTAGGGGTCAATCCCAATGCGAACAATAGCATCTGCGTGTATTTGACTGTGAGTGATTGGGGAAAGTTGCCTCGTGGATGGAAAATCAAGGCAAAGTTTTGGCTCGCTATAAAAAGTCCATACCAACGTAGAGCAACACGTGATGACCCGAACTATTTTGATTGGTACTGTCCTGCGTGGGGTGTAAACTTGTTGGACCGTAGCGAACTTGATGATGGGTTTCTTGATGATCACGGTGATCTCAGTATTGAAGCTCACGTAGAGGTTCTCTTCAAATCTGGTCTTCAGACGTGTTGCTGTGGCAAGGGCTTTAGACAACATGTTCGATGATGATAACAAGTGTCTTCTTTTCTATATATTTGCGTGTTCCAGAATTTTTAGGCCTTTAAAACCTGATCGGTTGTTATTTCTGGACTATTACAAAATTGCTCAATAAATTCGGTTCTTACAAATATGTATTAGTTTGTTCAAAACAGTTACTTGCTCAGTGCAATGTTGCTGGCATGAATTATAGTTTTCATGCAATTTCTGGCCTTATTAGTCATAGATCATCGACCATCATGGTTCATACAATGTGAATAAAGTATTTGGAAATTTTCTTGTTTAGGCGGGCAAATCAAAACTCTAAAACAAATACAAAGCAATTGAGAATTTATTATTAAGTAGTGAAATTAAACACGACAAAAACATCAATAATGCAAGACATAACAACTATACTCAACAGTGGCATCACCGTTCTTGAGATCAATCCGCTTTGTCCGAGCTTCGACATAGCCCCTAGCAAATCGGAATAGTCCGCTTCCTCCGATGATCGGCATTTCTCGAACCTCCGACAACGCCATGTTCCGACCAAGAATCGTGATCGTGCTACCGTTGTATTTTCCAGTCTTAAACGCGAAATTCATCGCCATGAAAAAGCCCAACTCCTTTGGGCTGCTCCGGCGTAAAAGCCTTGTGCCTGGCCCAACAAAGTAGAGTTCATCTGAACTTTGGCCGTCAAAGCGTTGTCGATCATGGAGATTGCTCCGAAGAGTGTAGAGTTTTTTTGGAAATGGGTAGAGTTTGTAACCACCGGTGGCTGAATCATGATGGAGGTTGGGTTTGGACCGCCTAAGATGTCGTGCCAATAGACTTTGAAATGGGTTAGTTTCTCTTTCTTGTGGAGACCGAGCAGTTTCCGATCTATGGGTCTAGCAAAGTTTTCCCCGTCGTCTCCGGTGGAGGAAACGGCGGAGAGGAGGAAGATTTGAACGGCGAGGAAGAAAATGAGCTTAGCCATGTGTTTGTTGTGGTTTTGGTTACTATGGATGGTGTGTAGAACAAGAAGGTACGTGATGTTATTTATATGCAAAATGATTGCCAAAGAGCTACACATCTGATAATGTACCTTTCTACCTACACCAAGAATTAATTATGCATGGTGACATCACTAACAATGCCACTACCATAAATAGGTTATTGTTGTTATCTTTCCTAAACTAAAAAGATTTAAAAGGATGAGGAAAAGCAGAAATATTATTGTTTCAAAGTGTTTCCCCTACTTTTTAGTTTTTATTATAAATTGAGAGTGCGTATTTCCAATTACATAAAATAAAACAAGCTTTTCCTCTTGTTTTTGAGTTTTTAGTATAAAAGTGGAGCGTGTTACAATGATTTTTTCTTCTTCTTTTGCTTTACATAATAATAAATTTGCTTTTTGTTAGTAAAACATGGATGATAATGAAGGAGGGAAAACAGTGAGAAGACGCATGTTAATTTCTTGCAATGTGAAATCACTTCATTGACTTATACAAAAAAAACTGTAAGAAACGAAAAAATACAGGATTTTACGAGTTTAGAAAAATCCATTATTGTAGAGTTACACGATCAAGATTAGAGTTCACAAGATTACAACGTGCATGAAAACGGATTTTATAAGCCTTCACTATAGTAAACTGCTAAATATAAATCTAACTAATCATCAAATCAACTCTGGCTACTCTTCGGTTCACAGATGATTCATGTTCACAAATCAACGCATCTCACTAGCTGTCAAAGTCATAATGTTGTGTCCTTACAATTCTTTGTACCGACCACGTCAAGATGTCGGCCCGAAATCATAAACAACATATGCATCGAAAGTGAAATATATCATCAAAATCGTAAGAAAACAATTACCAATGTTATAAAATTTAATAAACGACAAAACTAGCTACTACCACAGATGACAGATCCACCACCACACACCATAAGTCAAACGCAAAAGGAAATGTGGAAAACAAAAACACAAAAGGAAGATAATATTATATTGAAAATCTGATTTATTATTAAGTAGTGAAATTAAATACGACAAAACATCTGTAACATAATCAATAATGCAAGACATAACAGCTATACTCAACAGTAGCATCACCGTTCTTGAGATTGATCCACTTTGTCCGAGCTTCAACATAGCCTCTAGCAAATCGGAAAAGCCCACTTCCTCCGACGATTGGCATTTCTCGAACCTCCGACATCGCCGTGTTCCGGCCAAGAATCGTGATCGTGCTACCGTTATATTTCCCAGTCTTAAAAGCAAAGTTCATCGCCATAAAAAAGCCCAGCTCCTTTTGGGCCGCTCCGGCGTAAAAGCCTTGCGCCTGGCCCAACAAAGTGGAGTTGATCGGAATTTTGGCCGTCAAAGCGTTGTCGATCATGGAGATGGCTCCGAAGTAGGAGGTGTTTGTAACCGGTGGCTGAATCATGATGGAGGTTGGGTTTGGACCGCTTAAGATGTCTTGCCAATAAACTTTGAAATGGGTGAGTTTCTCTTTCTTGTGGAGACCGAGCAGTTTCCGATCTATGGTTCTCGCAAAGTTTTCCCCGTCGTCTCCGGTGGAGGAAACGGCGGCGAGGAGGAGGATTTGGACGGCGAGGAAGAAAATGAGCTTAGCCATGTGGTTTGCCGTTTTGGTTTCTATGAATGGTTTGTTAATAACTTAATATAAATGGCGTATATAACAAGAAGGTGTGTGGTGATGTTATTTATAGATGATCGAGTTTTAGACATCTTTATAGATGAAATGATTTTATATTACAGTATTTAATTAATGGATTCGTTTGTTTTTGTGGATTAGTTTAAACAACATTGACTAGCTAGCGAATGGGCGACCTTTGTATTTTATTTATAAAAAGTAGGAGGGGGCTATTATGTGTATTCATGTGTGTGGTGCGTGCGAGCTATCATAATCATCGCGTCATCGAGTCGTATTATTTACGGTGAAGTCATACTCAAAAGCTCTTGTCGTTACAGAATCTGAAAATCAATGGTTGTTAAAGGACAACAAAATCTGAAAAATCAGCGAGCAGTTACCTCATTTTTCCGGGTTAGTAATAGTTTTGCTACCTTTCTCTAAAAAAGAAGAAGAAAGATTATACCCATAATTCTGCTGTTTTAGCATATTTTCTTATCAACCTCCTATTTGGAATAAAAAAGCCCAGCTCCTTTTGGGCCGCTCCGGCGTAAAAGCCTTGCGCCTGGCCCAACAAAGTGGAGTTGATCGGAATTTTGGCCGTCAAAGCGTTGTCGATCATGGAGATGGCTCCGAAGTAGGAGGTGTTTGTAACCGGTGGCTGAATCATGATGGAGGTTGGGTTTGGACCGCTTAAGATGTCTTGCCAATAAACTTTGAAATGGGTGAGTTTCTCTTTCTTGTGGAGACCGAGCAGTTTCCGATCTATGGTTCTCGCAAAGTTTTCCCCGTCGTCTCCGGTGGAGGAAACGGCGGCGAGGAGGAGGATTTGGACGGCGAGGAAGAAAATGAGCTTAGCCATGTGGTTTGCCGTTTTGGTTTCTATGAATGGTTTGTTAATAACTTAATATAAATGGCGTATATAACAAGAAGGTGTGTGGTGATGTTATTTATAGATGATCGAGTTTTAGACATCTTTATAGATGAAATGATTTTATATTACAGTATTTAATTAATGGATTCGTTTGTTTTTGTGGATTAGTTTAAACAACATTGACTAGCTAGCGAATGGGCGACCTTTGTATTTTATTTATAAAAAGTAGGAGGGGGCTATTATGTGTATTCATGTGTGTGGTGCGTGCGAGCTATCATAATCATCGCGTCATCGAGTCGTATTATTTACGGTGAAGTCATACTCAAAAGCTCTTGTCGTTACAGAATCTGAAAATCAATGGTTGTTAAAGGACAACAAAATCTGAAAAATCAGCGAGCAGTTACCTCATTTTTCCGGGTTAGTAATAGTTTTGCTACCTTTCTCTAAAAAAGAAGAAGAAAGATTATACCCATAATTCTGCTGTTTTAGCATATTTTCTTATCAACTTTTTATAAATTTGGAATAAATTACGTGTCACAATTTCATGGATTAGCACATCTATAAATTGTATAAAAGTAATGATTCCAATTGGGAACATAGAAAATAGTAGTGTATTACATAAATATATTTATTTTAATTATTACAAAATTATTTTTGTTAATCATCAAACTATTATGGTAATGGAAGTTCTTTCTAAACTCCTAGAGAAAGCGGTGTATAAAAGGGAAGTTCTTTCTCACGTATGGATTTTACCATAAACAACGTACATATGTAGCTAAATGAAATATATTATCAAAAACTGGTAAGAAAACAAATTACATACCAATGTTAAGAAATTTAAATAAACGACAAAATTACTACCACAAATCCACACCGTTTAGCCAAACGCAAAATGAAGATAACATACCAAACATATGATTTATTATTAAATAGCGAAATTAAATATAGATAAATACGACAACAACATCACTAGTGCAAGACATAAATGTAGATAAGTAAGACAACATGATTACCAAAAAAAACCCTAAAATAAGACAATATCTTTAACATCAGTAGTGCAAGACATAACAACTATACTCAACACAAGCATCACCATTCGTGGGATTAAACCACTCTGTACGAGCCTCAACATAGCCTCTAGCAAATCGGAACAGCCCACTTCCTCCGACGATCGGCATTTCTCGAACCTCCGACATTGCCGTGTTCCGACCAAGAATCGTGATCGTGCTACCGTTATATTTCCCCGTCTTAAAAGCAAAGTTCATCGCCATCAGAAAACCCAACTCCTTTTGAGCAGCTCCCGCGTAAAATCCTTGTGCCTGGCCCAACACTGTGGAGTTCATCGTAGCTTTGGCCGTCAAAGCGTTGTCGATCATGGCGATGGCTCCGAAGAAGGAAGAGTTTGAAAGTGGTGGTTGAATCACGATAGAGGTTGGGTTTGGACCGCTTACCTGGTCGTGCCAATAGGCTTTGAAATGGGTTAGTTTCTCTCTCTTGTGGAGACCGAGGAGTTTCCGATCTATGGTTCTCGCAAAGTTTTCCCCGTTGTCTCCCGTAGAGGAAACGGCGGCGAGGAGGAGGATTTGGACGGCGAGGAAGAAAATGAGCTTAGCCATGTGTTTCTTGTGGTTTTGGTTACTATGAATGGTTTAATAATGTAAATGGTGTATAGAGCAAGAAGGTGTGTAATATTATTTATATATGCCGAGTTTTACTGTTTTAGACATCTTTCTAGAGGAAATGATTTTATATTATTTAATTTATGGTTTCGTTTCATTTTGTGTTTATTAGTTAAAGAACATCGACTACCGAATGGAAGACTTTTAAATTTTAATTAAAAAAAGTCGGGGAGGTTTATGTGATGCGTTCGAAATGTTATACTATCATAATCATTGCGTCACCGAGTCGTATGATTTACGGTGAAGACATACTCAAAAAACTTTTGTCATTTTTCAAAACAGTATCTAAAAAATCAATGGTTGCCAATAAACTAAAAAAAAAACGGAAATATAGTTGGCATTGAACTCATTTTTCGGATTAATAGTTTTGTGGATCAAATTGGTAGTATCATAGTTCATTGTTTTTCTTGAGAAAGGTTATATTATATGATAGTTGATATAGATTGATATTGAATTTTACACAATATATTAGACAATTATTTAGAGTATTAGGATCATCCATGGACCATGATACACGTTATTTGAATTTTCCTACATCAGTTTTTGAATGGCTAGCTCTGGTGTGTACACTTTTTACGTATGCTCATAATTCTATTGTTTTAGCATACTTTCTTATTATTATTTTTCTTCGAAATTTTGAATCGTTTATTATTCACAATATCATGGATATATAGCCCATCACTAAATTATAAATGTTATATTTTACACTCTCTTTATACTTTGTTAGTCGATATCAAAGACATATGGTTATGGCCTATGGGTGTCTTTATCTTTGCAGTACTTTTCACGCTTTTGCTTTATTCGCTTGCTATGGTTTCTTCGGAAAAGCTTTTAGTCCATTCTCTTTTCTTTGTATATACTATAATAATATGTAAAGACAATTTTAATTTCACCTTTATTTTCGTCCAATTATGAACCTTTGAATACGTAATTTGAATTTGAAAGATTTGAAAATATTTTACGGGTAAAAGAAAGTTAAAGAATTTGTCGTTGTTTACCAACCAACCTAACCTACCAGTATTGCTCAACATCGCAGTATTGAAATGTAACACGTTTTCTACAAATACGATACATTAATTTTATCCCAAAAAAACGATATGTTAATAACACCGGAATTTAAAGGAATTGAATAGAATGACTACAAATCCTTTACCGAATAACACCGGAATTTAAAAGAATTGAAAAAACATATACTCGAATAACACAGGAATTGAATGGAATCGTCAATTCCTTTAAATTCCATTGAAATACTGAATGCCAATACCCCCTTCTAAAATTTTCTCTGCAGTAAAAAACAAAATAAAATCCAACAAAAAAGGAGAGTTGTTCTCATTTGTTAATTCCTCATTAGAAACACACACACACACACACAACATAGAATACACAATCATAACTATTTATGGGGGAAAAAACAAATAGTGTATGAATACGCATAATTTTATTTGTGGGGGAATGTTCTTGACTTCAGAGGCATGCCTGACTGACTCCATAAAGAAGACCCATTAGGCATGGGGCCAAGTTTTCCACTCTCCATTGTCGTGGACCCATCGCTTCTCCATTCCGTACGTTGTATAATAAGATTTAGTCCACAAAAACTGTAAACTGTAGATAGTCCACGTTTGTGGATTTGATGTATAAAAATTGGAAAATTTATTAGAGCATGTGGATTTTTGTTATAGAGACGTAAATTCCTCTTTAAGAGCATGTTTATTGGTGAAACCCCCAAATGTCTCTTAACAATATTATAACAATACATTTAAGTTAAAAGACCTTGTTAAGAGACATGTGTTTTCCAATCAATTATTGCTAAAGTTTTTTCAAGTGTTCTTAACTTTTTCAAGTGTATAAAGAAAACAAAGATGATATATTTGAGTTTTGTGTCTTAAGAGTATGTTATCAATACAAAAACAACGTGGCTGCAGCTCAGACAAAAGGGACGAGTTCTGGACTGGTACAAAGGAGTATGGTTCTCTCATTCAACGCCAAAATATAGTTTCTGTGCCTGGCTAGCAATTAATCGTCTAGCTACAGGAGACAGAATGTTGTCCTGGAATTCCAATGTACACTCCTCTTGTGTGTTATGTCAGCAGTCTTTGGAGACACGAAACCATCTTTTCTTCACCTGCAGATTCTCTGCAGCAGTTTGGAGAGGCTTGACAAAGGGTCTTCTCAAAAGACGATACACCTTGCTCCACCCAAACTTGCAATATCCAGAACCACCTTCATCACAAGATGACACAAACACACAGAAAAGAAAGAAAACAAAAATTAAAACTTTTGAAACTAAAGTGCAAATGTATAATCCACAATGAAGAGAACAGAACCAAAGCATACCATCAATGATTATAGAACCAAGAACTTGTGCTCTCTGACCATACATACGCATGAACGACAATTCCCCTGATTGGCTAGAAAGCATTCTGCAAACATTTTAAAGTTCAAACCTTTCTTTGAATTGATCCCTCTCTTGACCAGTCTCAATATTAGCTCAACTCTTTCTCTATCAACAAAAGCAAAAATAAATTCAAAATTCGTAAACTCACCGGAGAGGATAACCAGAACGCAAACTTGTTTCGGCGAAGAAAATGGAGTCTCGCATCTCCAGAGACGATTACCACTAGCCAGACATTTCCAGGCTTTACACGCTAAGCTCAATTTCACCGCATATCTTGGCTCCATCAACATCAGTATCTGGATCAGGATATCCATCGGTAACTGATCGAACGCTCCAAGAGATGACGACCACGAAGAAGACAACAGAGGAACCTGAATCGACCTCTGACTCACCGATTTTTTCCGCCGCCGCCGCCAAAATACCCTTCTTCAGCATGCTCTATTGCCACCACGAAATCGTCCACCGCCACCACCAAATCGTTCTCCTTCTCCACCAAAACGACCATCGCCACCGTATCTTCCTAACCTTCCCCTGAACCCGCCGCCAATACACCAAATCGAGAGTTTTATTCGATGAAGCAGGATTGAAGGCGAATCGCCTCACAGAATGAGAAAAAGAAAAACGAGATTTTTTCTTTCCTACAGCTCAGTCCAATTACAATCAGACACGTGTTCCGTGAAACGTCTCTTGTAATTGTTCAACGTCCCTTATACAAGAGACGTTTTCAGCATAATTAATTAGGCATTTTTGATTTATTTTTTTTAACAAGATTCTCTAAGAGATGGAGATAAGTAACACCAATAAACATGCTCTAATGTCTCTTCTCGGATGAGATCGACGTAAGAGAAAACACTTGTTGGGCACAATAACTACTGTTAGTAGTCTATACCATATCTAATTTGAAAGTTGAATATTTATAATTTTCTAAAATGTATATGTTGTGGTTTCTAATTTTTGAAAGTGTGGTTTATAATTTTCAGCAAGCTAGAACTGTTGTAAATTGAATGTTGACTTCTTAGGATTAGTCTAGAAGCATTGACTTGTTTAGTTGTGGAATGTAATTTACGTCGGAAAATAACAAACATTCACACCACAGATAAACAGTTGATAGTAGGTGTATCTTTTGTCGTCATTAATTAGTCATGATAGTTCGTCAACTCTTCATATAACCTAAGAGACACCAACCCTTTGACTTTGATGGCACCATCGTGTCTAGCCATATCTCCGCAGCTTTGAACATGCCTCCATCTCTATGTCCTTCATAGTCTATGCCGTTTCCGCAATAGTCTTCGATCGAGCACGGCCTAGAGCAGCCGCAACCGGTAAGGGACTTATCTTTCTTGCTTTAGCCGCTGCATTCGCTCAACAATTATTTCTCTTACATCTAAATTATATATATAAAAACTAAATAAGGGTCACACTATTAAACATTCCCTCATCCTCAGTGAGGATTCCTCACCATTTAATGATCGCTTACATCGTAAAATATGGAATAAACATGAGTAATCGTAAAGTTTGAACAAGTTTATAAACTAAAAGGGTTTATGTAATTATGTTTGCTTAAATTTATGCCAATATAAACATGTATTCTTGTATGAATTTTTATTTTGTATTATTGTATAGATACTTGTTTCTGCATCTGTCACAAAGCTTAGAAATCACAAAGAAAATAAAATATGGGGTTTATATCGCTTATGTATAAAGTCAGGCCAGCTTAATTAAGCGTTTACAAGCATGCATGGTTGTCATTAAACCCAAAATAAAGTCAAACAAAACGAAGCTTAATTTGGCTAAACCCTCACACCCAAGCCGCCTTATTAATCCCATGTGCACTTCTCAATGCTATCGTTCACAATGAAAATCCCTAATTCTCTCTTTCCAAACACAAACTAAAACATCATGAAGGCATAAAAAAGCCAGCCCAACATGGGAACACTTGTGGCACATGTATTAACAGGTTTTGCTTTCTTAGCACTTGGCTTATGGCACTTATTTAACAACACAAAACTCTTTTGTCTCCATCCAAAGATCTTCACTTCATCTTCATGGTTCCCAGTTTCCAAACTTAGACACTTAGAGCTTTACTTATTCATGTCATTTTCGCTAGTTTGCATATCCATGGAGTTTTTCTTTGCACCTGGAGGAATCCATCCATTTGACTCCGATTGGACAATCCTACCGAACCACCTAAAAAACTTCGAACACTCTTCCATCACCTTATCCTTCTTTGTCTATGCCGTTTTTGCGTTAATCCTTGATCGAACACGGCCAAGACCCGCCGCTTCTGAAGGGCTAACCATCCTAGCTTCGGCTGCTGCCTTCGCTCAGGAACTATTTCTCTTCCATTTTCACTCTGCCGACCACATGGGCGTTGGGGGACAATACCATTTCATCCTCCAGTTCATTATCTTCGTCTCTCTCCTTACCACTCTGGCACTCTCATGGGTATTGTTCAAACACCCTAATAAATGTAGTATAGTTTAAGCTTCTTACATGTATTAAATAAGTATCCAGAACTATCTCAAATTATTCGTAAGGTCTTGTAGATACGTTAGTGTGGTATCAGAAACTTTCTTCCTTAGTGTGGTATGCATACGTTAATTTTGACATATATTTCAATTTTTATATTTTAGTGATTTAGTTTTTTACGTTCGATTCTGATAGATACTTACCGGATTAGGATAAGATTAATTCGCTCCACATAACTAATAACCTTTTTTTTGTTTTAAAACTTGAAAAGGTATTGCCTTCCCCAAGAGTTTCTTTGTAAGCTTTGTGAGATCATCAAGCATAGCCTTTCAAGGAGTGTGGTTAATAGTGATGAGTTACATGCTTTGGACACCTAGCTTGATCCCCAAAGGGTGTTTTATTCACAATGAAGGAGGAAACCAAGTCGTTAGGTGTTCTAGCGAAAAAGCTCTTCACAGAGCTAAGTCGTTGGTCAACCTCGAATTTAGTTGGTTATTTGTTATAAACACAATCTTTGTCTTGATACTATATTTGATTCTCGACCGTTTTTACGGTGAAAACATAGAGTACTCGAGTATAACCACCAAAGAGCAAATAGAAGAAATTGGTGAAGGACACATCGAATCGAAGTCCATTAAGAAATTGAGTTTTTGTACAATTGGGTAAACTCTTTGGATCAAATGTAAAAAAAAATCATAAAATGATGATGATGATTAATATTATTGTTATGTGTGTAATAAACTATATATGGTCATTGGTCTATTGTAGATCAAATAATTAAGGAAATGACTGATAATGTATGTGATAGTGAAAATGTGGGTACGTAATGTATTAAGAAATAAGAATTTATTTTCTTCGGACTTTAAATGTATGATTGTGTGTTCATTATCTTAGATGACATGCAATCTCTTCTTAGATCATAGAGAAAATCAACATACATAGCTCATGCAAATGAAACCTAGAATCATTATTAGAGAAAGGGAGTGATAAATTAATAAATTAGAGCAGAGATGCTAATAAATAGAAGTTGGTGAGCAAATTACGTTAGGATATCAATCTAAATTCCATATGCGTGTTTTGGGCCGGACGATCGATTGATATGCCCAGCCTACGTATAATTAATATGAATAATTTATATGAAACGTATTCCATGATGCGTGCATATATGATATACAGTATACTTTATGAAGTGCCCTCAGATTAAACAAGATTACACGTGATCAAGTAATGAAATGTTTATGGAAACGTTTCGTAAAGTTTGAACAAGAACGAACCAGTTGGGGTTTCCGTTTGCTAAAAGCTTTGTAAATAGAAATTATTTATTTCTATACGAAAAGATAAAATATAATTTATATTTATAAAGTATTTATACAGATAAGTATTTCCTACGTGGCTATATCTCTCATAGAACATTGATATCACAAAGAAAGCAAATGGGGCTGTTTATTGTATATAAAAAGACAGGCCAGTTAAGCATTTAGGCATACAAGTGCTCATTTTAATTAACCTCTCAATCTTTTGTTCACAATAAAATTTTCTAAATCTCTCTTTCTCTCTCGAACACACAGACTAAAGATCAGTAAGACATAAAAACCCACAACATGGGATCACTTGTTGGACATGTTTTACCAGGTTTTGCCTTCTTAGCACTCGGCTTATGGCACTTATTCAACAACATCAAACTCTTCTGTCTCCATCCAAACACCTTCACTTCATCTCTATGGTTTCCAACTTCCAAACTCAGACACTTAGAGCTCTACTTAATCATGTTCTCTTCATCAGCTTCCATATCAATGGAGCTCTTCATCGGACCTAGACGACACCATCCCTTTGACTCCGACGGCACCATCCCATCGAACCACCTCCGCAACTTCGAACATTCTTCCATCTCCATGTCCTTCTTGGTTTACGCTGTTTTATCATTAGTCCTCGATCGTGCACGGCCTAGAGCCGCTGCTTCTGAGGGGTTAAACATGTTAGCTGCGGCCGCTGCCTTCACTCAGGAGCTACTGACCTTCCATTTTCACTCTACTGACCACATGGGCGTTGAGGGACAATATCATTTGATTCTACAACTCATTATCTTTGTCTCTCTCCTAACCACTCTCATGGGTATTGTTTTGAGACCCTAATTATTATAGTTGGATATGAGAAAGATTTATGAGTTTTATGATTCGTACCACATTACTATTTAACTCATATTTTTATTCTACTTTAAAAGGTATTGCCTTTCCCAGGAGTTTTTTGGTGAGCTTTGTGAGGTCTTCAAGCATAGGTTTTCAAGGAGCGTGGTTCATAGTGATGGGTTACATGCTTTACACACCGAGTTTGATCCCTAAGGGATGTTTTATTCACGATGAAGGAAGACACCTAGAGGTTAAGTGTTCCACCGAAGAAGCTCTTCATAGAGCTAAATCGTTGATCAACATCGAATTCAGTTGGTTATTCGTTATCAACACAATATTTGTTGTGATGCTATATCTGATTCTCGATCGTGTTTACGGTGAAAACATAGAGTACTCTACTATAAACATCAAAGAGCAAATAAAAGAAATTGGTGAAGGAAAACAAGACATCGAGTCGTCAAAGAAAATGAATTATTCTACTTTTATCCAAATGGGTAAACTTCTTGGCCATCAAGACAAAATGTGAGAAAGATTATTAAGTGGTTATATATGGTTAATGTTACTGGTTATGTGTGTGTAATAAACTATGATCTATTTCATTTCAAATAATTAAGAAAATGATCAATAAGTCTATATATTGGTGAGTTTGCGACAGTGGATAAAGTATTTATATGGCTAATGTGTTAAGTTTTCTTCAAATTAAAATGTACGGACACTCATTGTTGCCTTGTGCAGCCAAATCGATCAGGTTAAACACCACTAATTTTTAAGGGTTTGTAGAAGAAGTAGGATAGTATCTAAACATTAAAAAAAAAGTATGATATTAGTTGGCAATACTCAACAGTCAACAGCTGCACGACATTAATAATACAATACGTAATACGTTTGCAATGAAATTTTTATCTAGTCAAAGACGTTACATAATTGCATGGATATGTTAGATGATTTTCCTCATTGTGTGTGAAGATAACTAAATATTACTTGTAGTTGTATACAATGTGGTGAAGTATTGATGTCAGCTACTTATGTTTTTATAATTATGACGTAAAATGTATTCCTTTGTTTATCGTAAACATATTGTATAATGACCTTCGTATATATTTCGCAGTTTTTTATTTACTACAACATCATCTGCCGATCGATGTATATGAGATTTTAGCATAAGAAACGTATTTCTTATTATGTATGCGTGACGTGTACTTTGTTTCTAATCCAAAATGTACGTTCATAATCACAACAGAAATACAAACTCATAATATTTGAGATATAGTTAGTCATTACGTATTCGTCGAGCTTGAACAAAAAGAGAACTACATTTTACATCTTCAATCTGTGAATTATTGCCAAGAGTATACGTTAGAATATTGAGAAACAAACATTTAGCTTTTCGCTATTTAAAGTCGCCGGATTGATCTAGCTGGGACATAAAACCACACAACATGGGGCCACTTGTGGGACATGTTGCATCAGGTTTTGCCTTCTTAGCAATTGGTCTATGGCACTTATTCAACAACATAAAACTCTTTTGTCTCAACCCAAACACGTTTGCTTCATCAATATGGTTCCCAACTTCCAAACTCCGACACTTGGAACTCTACATAATTATTCTCGTCTCTGCTGTGGGCGTCATAGGCGTGGAGCTCTTCAACATTTCAACTGAGAGAGATCAACTCTTTGACTCCAACGACGGTACAATTCTTCCCGACCTTCTCCACGACGTTGAACACTCCTTCATCGCAATGTCCTTCTTAGCCTATGCCGTTTTCGCACTACTCATTGATCGGGCACGGTCTAGAGCCGAGGGTCTAACCGTCCTCGCTTATGCTGCTGCTTTTGCTCAGGAGCTGTTTATCTTCCATTTTCACTCTTCCGACCATATGGGTATCGAAGGACAATACCATCTGATCTTCCAGTTGATCATCTTCATCTCCCTCCTCACCACTCTCATGGGTATATATATATATATATTTCTCATGAGTATTGTTCTAAGGCGCAAAACACATATTTTTTTACATCATACCATGCATAATTTACATAAATCATATTTGAAATAGAAAATTTATCTATTATGCTATATACACTTTTTAAGAAACATTTTCAAAATGTCATGTTTATTTTGTTATTCTTCTTCTAATATCTGTTATATGGATTGCATATGGTTCAAAATAACTGATTAATATCTTTGTCGATTTGAATCAGGCATTGCCTTGCCCAAGAGTTTTTTGGTGAGCTTCGTGAGATCTTCAAGTATAGCCTTCCAAGGAGTGTGGTTAATAGTGATGGGTTTCATGCTTTACTCACCGAGTTTGATCCCTAAGGATTGTTTACTCCATGTGAACGAAATACATACCACGGTTAAGTGCTCTACCGTAGAAGCTCTAGACAAAGCCAAATCGCTTGCTAACATCGAATTTAACTGGTTGTTTGTGCTAACCACAACTTTTACCATTACGTTATATTTGATTCTTGAGAGAGTATACGGTGGAAACACCAAATACACGAGCCTAGACACCATAAATCAACAAGATGATGAAGAACAACAACACATCATCAAATCAAGTCGTTACCCAAGTTTTGTCCAAATGCATAAACTCGTTGGACATGTATAGAGTCAAGATGTATGGGATTTATTTAAGGATGGTCGATGATTAATGTGATTTGTTTGTGAGTTAAACTATGTTCCATTTGTTATAAATATTTTTATATATTCAGTTTATGATTCTCTTGAAGTTTTTGGTTAACATCGAGAGGTCCCTAAGAAACTCGATGACTTAAATTTACAACGCATGTGAATATGTGATCAGCTGGAATCGAGAAGCACTTGGCTCCATTTTTAATGCACTGTTGGGCTTTTATTTTATTTATATATTCGATAAAGTATTTCATATAGATTAGGCCCAATACGCCTTTTGGGCTTATAAGAGCCTTTCTAACCAGACGACGCCGTTAATTGTTTCTCGATAATTCATTCACAAAAGAAAAAAGCAGTCGACGAGAAACCTCGGAAGATTCTCCGGCGATACCTCCTCCACCTCCTGACCCCCGTGGGATTTAGTTTAGCGATTCTATGTCAACGAGACAGAGTTTGTCTCTAAAGATTTAGACTTTAGAGCCTCTGCCTAAACGGACGATCAAATCGAATTTGGGTTTTCTGTTAAATTGAAGTGTTATGGAGAACCAGGAATCGGACGAGCCGATGCAGAAGAAGCCTCATCTTTTGGACTCCGTTTCTCCAACTGCCATGGCCCTTAATTCTTCACCTTCTCATCCCATCGCTAAAAGCGTAAGTTTATATTTTTCCGACTGAGAAATTCTTGATTCTCTGTTTATTTTTGTTGAATTTAATCGAAACATTTTGATAGGATTTCTCTTAAACAAAATCGTTTTTTTACTTGGAATCTCGCGTTTGCATAATAGACCTGAGGTCTCTGCCGATTGAAATCAAGTGTGCGTTTATAGTTGCAGTCTCAGAATGGAATGCAAATAAAGTGAGTTTCTTTGTTTGGTTGCATGTTGTTTACTTTTTGAGCTCTTTCAGGTTGATGCCACCGCTCTACAGTTCCAGAATCAGAAACTTGTCCAGCAGTTAGACCTGCAGAAGAAACACCTGTACGATGTTGAGACCAAGATCGGAGAGTTGCATATCAATCAAACATCTTATGACGACGAACTTATCTCAGTTAACCGGATATGGAACCAGGTCAGTAATTACTCGGTGTCGAATTTTTGTTCCTTCCCACTTTATTGAACATCGTTTGATGTTTTGTTGTGTGCATTTTGACGGTTTAGTTGGTTGATGATCTGGTCTTGCTTGGAGTTCGTGCTGGGGCTAATCAAGAGGCTCTAAAACACTTGGACATTGTAGATGAGAAGCGAGGTATTGTATAAGAGGTCTCTCTCTCGCTTTTGAAGTATAATTGGTGCTTAAACTTTATGTAACAGTTCAAATATCTGTCTTACTGTAATCTAGGTTCGCTTCCGCCATGTGCTGCTGATGAGACGTTTCTATGTAGACTTCTGCAAGTAGATTCCATAGATAGTAGAAATAGTGATGAGGTAGCAAGAAAGGTTGAAGAAGCTCTTGATTTGCGTCATTCCTCTACAATGGAGTTGATGGGAGTCTTTGAAGATACCATTGCTACACAGAGGGCGAGAGCTGAAAGCATATCACGAAATTTACATGATGTGAAATCGGCAGAAGGTTTGTTGGTGTGCCAGTTATCGGTTTCGTTTTAATTCAATGGTTATATACAATTTTTACAGACTTTTGTCTTTTTTTCTTCAGATGCCACCGTTCAGTTGTCTAACATAAACGATTTGATGAAAGAGGAAGCCAAAAACTTGCGTGAGATGATTGATGCTTTGAATGTGAGACACAAAGAGCATACCGAGCGGATTCAGGCTTACATAAGCAGCCATTCAACAAATCAATCCGAGCTTAAACAACTCAAAGGTGAGAGAACTTGAGAATCCGCTGTTTGTTTGCCTTTTTTTCACTCTGGAACCTTAATGTAAGAATTAGTGTTGATTAGCATGGTGATATTTCTTATAATTATTGTCTGACTAGGGTTTATCTTTGGTTATTGAAGGTGAATTGGAAGAGATCAAGGCTGAGCTTGAAGAAAATAGAAGAAAACTGATAACCTTGAAAATGCAAAAGGATGCTGCATGTGAAGGTCATGTAACACCACCAGCAATAGCTAATGGAAGCCTTTCTCCTGAGAAGCCTGTAGATAAAACGAAGTTGCGGGAATTGAAGGACTCAGTTGATGAAATAAAGGTAACTAGCTCTTTAACAGAGTGGTTCATGTTTTCAATTTTTTTTTATTTTTTCGTCCTCACGTGTAAGCTTAGTACGTGTTTTGAATAATTACTCTAGATTGTGGCAGAAGGTCGTCTGTCTGAGCTTCAAGCGGCACAAGAATATAATCTCTCCCTGTCAAGACAATGTCAGGATATTGAGGTAAAGTTATAGAAGTTGGGGATAAAAATATTTCTAAGAGCAATAGTTGCAGTTGACAATTATATGTTGTGCTTAATGAATGCAGAGTGAACTGAAGGATGACCAGTATATATACTCGTCCAGACTGTATAATTTGATCAAAGATCAACTTCATCACTGGAATTCTGAACTGGACCGGTATAAAATTTTGACTGAGGCCGTTCAGGTCAGCTTCTTATTCTTTCCCATCATAATTGAGTGAATTGTTCGTCGATCCTTGTCTAACCCTGCTTCAGGCTGAAAGGTCCTTTGTAATGAGACGAGAGAAGGAACTAAATCTAAGAGCGGATTCCCTGGAGGCAGCTAACCAGAAGACGACCACTGTTGGCTCTAGAATTGAAGAGCTGGAAAAGAAACTGCAGAGTTGTATAGTTGAAAAGAATGGATTGGAGCTTGAAACAGAAGAAGCTATTCAAGATTCTGGTGATGTTCACTCCATTTCAGTACTCTATACCTGAGAAACATTTTAAATTTCTGTTCATGAAATATATTTTCCATGTTCCAGAGCGGCAAGATATTAAAAAGGAGTTTATTGCAATGGCATCAACCTTATCTAAAGAGATGGAAATGATGGAAACGCAGTTGAAACGGTGGAAGGACACTGCACATGATGCCCTTTGCCTACGTGAACAAGCTCAGTCGCTGAGAGTTTCTTTAAGTAACAAGGTTTTAACGCAACCACAGCTTAAACTATATAAATTCTTCGCCTCTCCAATATATTTCCTTTGTATTGGACTAAACTCATGGTCTGCTCCCTGAAATATTGTTTTTTTTCATGCTAACAAAGGCAGACGAACAGAAGGGTTTAGAGGATAAGTGTGCTGAACAGATGGCGGAAATTAAATCTCTCAAATCTCTAGTAAGTTTTCTTTATATCCCTAAAATCATCTACTTCTTATGGATTCCATGTTGAGAATTAGATCAGGATAATAGCCTCTGTCCAACCGTTTGGGTGGCACTTAACTCATCAGCATAGCTTAGTTATTTTTCGTTAAGCCATCTTTTAGGAACATATGGATACTGAAATTGCGGACGGTGTAGCTGTAAGAGTCTCAATGGTCTATTGTAATATTGCAGATTGAGAAACTGCTGAAAGAAAAATTAGAGCTGCAAAATCTAGCTAGCATCTATACTCGCGAGTGTAATGATGAAAGGTATGTGATCATTTGAGTGTATTGTTATCCAGTGAGCTCTTCCGTTTTTTGCTGAAAACATGAGACTTGAGCTTTTCAATTTCAGAGGATTGGCAGAAATTAAGGAATCACAACGGAAAGCTCATGCTCAGGCTGAAGAGCTGAAAAACGTTTTAGATGAACACTTTCTTGAGTTGAGAGTGAAAGCGGCTAATGAAACCGAAACTGCTTGCCAAGAACGGCTTGCTACCGCAAAGGCTGAAATTGCTGGATTGAGGAATCAGTTGGATATTTCTGAGAGGTATGCTCTCTCATGTTACCACATCCAAGTTCATGCATATTATCCGTGTCACCATTTTGGGGGCCATTAATCGGTGTTATATTGCAGAGAGGTTTTGGAACTTAAGGAAGGTATTAAGGTTAAAGAGCAGGAGGCAGAGGCATCCATTGCTGAAATGGAGGTACCTGCAATCATCCTTTTACTCTTTCTTTCTCATTTGATGTTGTTAAAGAGGTTGAAAAAGTAAAAAACAAAATCTCATGTGTATCACCAATACTTTGTTTCTCTAGACTGTCGGTCAAGCCTATGAAGACATGCAAACACAGAACCAACATTTGTTGCAGCAGGTGGCCGAGCGCGATGATTATAATATCAAGGTAGGAGATTGCGTTTCTTTTCCCTCTTTTTGCTCTTATCTCAAATGGTCCTTTGACTAAACTCTATCTAGACTTTGAACACATCAGTTGTAGATTATTTATTTGGTCTTATGATGTAGCTTGTTTCCGAGAGTGTCAAGACAAAGAATGCTTACAACACTCACTTATCTGAGAAGCAAGTAATGGAAAAGCAGCTCCAACAAGTGAATGCATCCGTTGCAACTCTAAAAGCAAGGATCGCGCATGGTGAGGAACAGGTAAGAACCTTCTTCTGGTAACTATCTAAAACTGCTCTCATCAGTGTCGTTAGTAAACGGTGCTACTGTCGCAGATGAAAGGCTGTTTCTCTGAAGCTTATAAGTTGATTCAAGAAGATCGTCACCTCGCTCTCAGTCTCGAAACCACCAAGTGGGAATTAGCTGATGCTGAAAAGGAATTCAGGTGGATCAAATCGGCTGTTTCTTCATCTGAGAAGGAATATGAACAGATCAGCAGGAGGACAGAAGACATCAAACTGGAATTAGATGATGAAAGGTGACCTCGAAACAAATCTCTTATTTGAACTCAATAACTGTAAAATGGCATATTGATATAACTTCTATCTACTGAACAGGAGTGAGAAGAAGAAGCTTGAGGAAGAATTGATGGAGTTAAATAAGGAGCTTGAAGAGTTGAGTTCTGAGAGTGTAGAAGCTGCAATACTGAGACTCCAGGAAGAGGTTAAGAATTGCAAAAACATCCTCAAGTGTGGCGTTTGTTTTGATCGGCCTAAAGAGGTAATATAATTCTCATTATTGTCCTATATCTCACCATCAAGGCAGACATAGTAACTTTGATAATCATCTCTCATCACTGTCATAAATCATCATCATCATTATTCTATATCATGCATGATCAAGAATCATTTTCAGCGGATTTCAACAACCGTTTAACAATACTTGCAGGTGGTCATTGTGAAATGTTATCATCTCTTCTGCAAGCAATGCATCCAACGAAGCTTAGAGATCCGACACCGAAAATGTCCAGGCTGTGGCACCGCCTTTGGACAGAGCGATGTCCGTGTTGTCAAAATGTAACACACACGCACACACTCACACGGTGTTAGTACATAATACACTTAAGGTCCACAATCTCATCTTCCTTGAATAACATTGTAATTTTGTATTGGAAATGGTGGCCCGTTCTCTGTAGTGTTAGTTAGTTATAACCACCAAAATCTTTGTTTGCCCAGCTAAGTCGGTGGTGAGAAATTAGGTGACACCTTTATGGAGAAAGTGTAGGTTTTAAGTATCTGACAATAGTGTTTTGTGTTTCCCCCATTTATGCATTTTGTTTAATGACATGGGGGACCGTTCTAAGACATCACAAATAAGACAAGAGAGAGATAAGAGAGACTGCATCTTTGCAATTTGCAGCGAAACGGATGCTTAATTGTTTGAATTGCTTGATTCCGAACTTTAGGCTGTGTTTGTGGTCTATATAATTTGTTTTATGTTTTGATCAAGAATAGTTGGTGAAAATTCAATGAAACGTTTCCACAAAATTTGAATATAATGAAATTAGTTAAATCATAAATGATGATTGTGAGTTGCTACAATCTATTGTTAGGTAGGATAATAATGTCTTCTAGATAGTATGTAGAAAGATGCATATATGAATTGGTGACATCTAAGGCTTTAATTGGACGTGAAGATTATGTAACCTCTTATCTACGATAATCATTATTGTAGTGTACTTTTGACTATGAAATGTTGCTGATATGACTAAGTACGATCCGGTTGTCATAAGTACCATTGCCTAATTGCCTGTCTCTGCATAGATGTGCGAAACACTTTTAAACAATCTTTGAAGATATACACATAAGAGAACTTCTTTAGCACTTTAAAAAAACATGTAAATAAACACATGAGAAAAAGATCCATGAAAAATGACCTTTTGGTAAGAAAAAGAAAATATCGGCAACTTGCGGATATACTAATAAAAAAATTAAGAGCCACAAAAGGACAATATTTCGAGTGGCTTAAAAATCACAACTAAATGCATGGAAAATTGCAGAGTTCCTAGGGCTCAACTACCATTAATGGCTCTCATAAATTTCAGGCTTATCATTTCGCCATCTACCTTTAAAAATTTTGATTTGTATTATTAAGAGGTATAATTCAAATGGAATAATCTGACTGAAGCTATTGAATAACGATTTTCATCCAGACACAAAGAAAACTACTCCCTCTGTCCCATATTATAAGCAGTTTTGGCATAATGTATCTGTAATTTTTTGGATGTGTCTGGACAATTACAAAGATGATGTGTGATAACACCTGCAATCTCTATCCAATTGTTGAGGGTCAATGGATTATTTCACACACAAAAAAACGATCACTATATGAACAAAACACTTTATGGCTGAAATTTTTTATGCCATTTATAAGCCACTTACAAATTAACGATCAAATGACTTTAATTTCTAAGAGGAAAATTAGACTTTTAATCTAAAACAGTAAAACCCCTAACTAGCTAGTTCAGTTGATGTGGTGACGTTTTTTCTTTCTTTATTTTACATACGTTTAAAAAGTATTTATTTTGACACAACTATACATGTTAAATTGTAATAAATCGCCATCACCCAGCCAATACATAATTACATATATAGTCATAACTATAAATACACGATCACACCTTTTTATCTAGCTAAAGAGTGCTCCATGATTACACACTGAACCAAAACGTACAATATCAACAGAGACACAGACATATACTTATATATATATATAAAGAGAGAGAGATCATAAGAGATTACAAAATTACAAGATCGAACCATGGAGCACTCAACGAAAACACTAATCATAACCATCGTGATAACCTCCATGTTGCTAGGGTTTGGAAGCTCAGATCTGGCTCAAGACAGAGAGGAGTGTACGAACCAGCTGGTAGCACTCTCACCGTGTCTTCCGTACGTGGGAGGAAACGCAAAGGCCCCAACAAAAGATTGCTGTGGAGGGTTTGGTCAAGTTATAACAAAGAGTGTGAAGTGTGTTTGTATATTGATCAAAGACAAAGATGATCCTAATCTTGGTCTCAAGTTTGACGCAACCCTAGCCGCTCGTCTTCCCACCGCATGTCATATTAAATCTCCTAACATCACCGAGTGTATTTGTAAGTCTCTCTTCTCATTCTTCAAGTTTAATTATTTTATGGAACTTGTTTAGGTTAGTATGTTTGTATGTTTTTCCCTCTTTCTTTTTTTGTTCTTTTATCCAATTCTGGAGATCCATAGTACAATGTACAGTTTTATAACACTTATTTTTTGCTTTATTAATTGAAGAATTATTATAGTTGTGAAGAATTCTTCATTTAGTTGCTATACCATATGGAACTGAAAATACTTGATATAGTACACTTTCCGTTTGTACTATAATTAGTTTTTAAATCTAATTTTTGAAGATCACCTAAACAGTAAAATATACGGGTTATAATAAAGAATATTACTCCATATTATAGTTACTATACCATATGGATATGACATTAGTAAGTAAATGATGATATCCAATATCATTTGATTTCTTTTACTGAATTACGTTTTTTGTTTGTTTAAAGTTACTGTGATACAGTATAAAGTTAATTAAGTTAATCTTTTTTTTTTGTGGAAATTAAAGCGCTTCTGCATATATCTCCAAACTCGACACTGGCTAAAGAGTATGAAAACTTAGGAAGGATTGAAGGAAACAGCAATACCACATCTCCTTCACCAACTGTTAAAAAGGGTACGTAATTAAAATTAAATTTATTTGCTCAAATTATTACTCCATCTCTTTAGAATTTTCTAAAAAGTACTATATAATCACACACCATTAATCTAGTCTTATGGCTCAAACTATAACTTTAATACTATTTACTGATTCGAGCTGTAACTTTAATATTTTGGTGTACATATAAAGATGGGCCAGGAGGAGGTAAAGCTGAACCAGCGAAGAGTAATGGAGAGAAGAAGGAGAGTTGGTTGGCTGTTGAGCTTTTACTATTTGCTCTTTTCTCTCATCTTTTAATTATCTCTTCTCTCACACCTTCCTTTATTTAATGTTTCCTTTGCTTTAATTCTCTTATATAAATTTATAATATTCCCAGTTACATTAAATCTATAAATGCAATGTGTATGGATATGATCTGATCATGTAAGTGAATGAAAAAATTATAATATTTATTGGGTTTTAAATTCTAATAACGAAGACGAAGCGTAGTTTTCAGTCGTGTTGTTGCTTCCTGCTCTTGTCTGCAAGTATTTAATGAATTACCAACCTTTTTTTTCATTTCTGTCATGTATTTAAATATACACTGTTATGTATCAGACGTAACAAATCAAACTATAATGTTTACATGTGGTTAAAAGGTGATTCAATATCGTCGTGCTAAATTTGTATGCAAACAAATACAGAATTGGGTAACATAAGGGTCGGTCTAATTGGACCAACGATGATTCTCACAATAGGCCCAATACATTAGAGCGTGTGATGCACGGCAACAAGTCCCAGGTGAAGACAAATTGGCACTGTTATACACGTGGCAAGTCAAACTACAGAATCTTCCAAACCTGTTATATTCCCTATTTTACCCTCAACGTTTCTGTTATATTACGCTCCCTTTCTCTCAGTGTCACTCACCTAAAATGGCTTCTTCTTCGCTTACACTACTCTTCTTCTTTCTCTTCTTCTTTCTCTTCTTCCTCTCTCTCTTCTCTCTCTCCTCCTCCCTAAATCTCCGCCGTCCAATCTCGTCTCAATCCAACGGCTTCGATCACCTCTCCTTCTCGTACACCACTTTGTCGTCTTCTCTGAATCTCGACCATCCATCATCTCTCGCCGCCGATGACATCCACGATCTTCTCCAACTCTACGGATTCCCGAAAGGTCTCCTCCCTGGCGACGTCAAATCGTACACTCTCTCCGACGACGGAGACTTCACAGTTGACTTAATCACCCGCTGCTACGTCCATTTCCCCGATCAGATCGTCTTCTACGACAAGAAAATCGCCGGGAGACTCAGCTACGGATCCGTCAAAGACGTCCAAGGTATCCAAGCTAAAGAGGCCTTCTTCTGGGTTCCAATCACCGCCATGGAATCGGATCCAAGCTCCGGCACCATAGTCTTCTCCGTCGGATTCGTTTCCAAGACTTTACCGGCGTCCATGTTCGAGAATGTTCCCTCTTGCTCCACTAAACTAAATCTTCAAGCTTCAACAATCTCCATTTAAAACAAATCCTTTCTCCTTTGTTATGTCAAATTTGTGTTTTGAAAGTTTACTTTGAATCGATACTATCTGGAATTACTGAATCGGATCATAGCTTATAGAAATGAAAGACTTGAGATTTACAAGAATCACAGAATACAAAGTGTTAACAATAAGCTATAACAATCGCCAAAAGTAACCATTAAAGACCTTTCCTAAAAGGTCTTGCTCTCTCTTCTTCTCTCATGTGACCGTTGAGACCAGCTTCAACTTCTTCGCCATCGGTCAATAGTGTTCTTGAGCCACTAAACCAGAGTTGCTTTGCTTTGCCTCGAATCCTCTTCTTGGTTGGTTTCATCAGAACATTTTGGCTCCATTGTTGTTAAGCTTCAGATCTCGGTTTGTCAAGCTTGAAGCACTTGGCAATGCACAATATGGCTTTTCAAAGCTCTCCCTGCAATACTCGACCATATATTACTGAGAATGCTCTTAGACTGTCCCTTCACAGCAATGTTCTCCCAAAGCCGAGGACTGTTCTTATCAGGATTCGAGACATCAACAAGACTCATACTCATATTGTTCCTGATTATACAAAGCTTACTATTCAGTGGAACAAGCGCCGCAGCTTCAAGCGACCTCGAGTTTCCCAAATGAACCTTACTGTCCATGAACTTGTTCCACGAATCACCAGACTCATCATACACTCTAAGTTTGCATCCGTCTCTACAATCCAATCCGTAGAGACGACCGTTCAGAGAAGTACACGGGTTTCGCCAACCAGTAACCATCCCGTCACTAACCGGACTCCACGAGTTACTCTCAGGATCATAAGCTTCACTCATAACTTGCTGATGAGAGCCAAGTCCTTTAAGAAACCACTTTCTTCCATAAACCACACCGATAAGAGGCACCATTGCTGTGCTCATATCAGCTATAAAGCTCCATCTGTTCTTGTTCGGATCATAAACCTCAGCCGACCTCAGCGTCCTTTGAATCCCTTCACACTCCCCACCAGCTACATACAAGCAGTTGTTTATAACGCAGCAGCCGAAGAAATGTCGCTTCCTAAGCATATCCGGAGCTCTATGCCACTTATTCGTCCTTGCATTGTAGAAGATGACTCTTCTCATTGATCCTCTCAGAGGATCTTTACCTCCAAACAGATAAAGATGACAACCGCTCAAAACAGCACAGCCAAACCCAACAGCCTCTGAGTACTCTCTAGGAACAGGTGGAAGCGGCTGCCAAAGCTGAGACGTTGGATCAAACGTGTTCCAAGAGATCTTCCCATCTCTATCTCTCTTGAAGACGTAAACCCATTCCTCTGACATGCCAAGCAGCTTCCTCTGAGAGTAGAAGAAGTTCCCAGAAGCAAGCCTGTACCATCTTTTGCAGACTAGCCTGAGCTTCCTGTGCTCTGCTCGAGGGACGCGGATGAGGCAAGCGACGGCTAGATCGTCCGGGAGGCCAGGGAGGAGCGGCGGTTGGATTCTCGTCCTCTCTCTCTTGGAGTTTTTGCGGCGGTGAGCATTTGGATTGATGTCAGGTTGGATACAAAGCTTTGATCCAGGGACGAACTTTCTTGCTTCTACAACTGTCTTAAGCCCTGAATCTACTCTGCAGTAGCAAGATACAGAATCCACCTGCGGAAAAAAGTTCCCAATTTTCAGAAATCAAAACATTCCAAAACAAAGGTGATTCAGAGAAAAGTCACATTAGGGCAGAAAAAGTTGTCAGAGACTATCCAATTTTGGAGAATTTTAGCTTAGGGTTTCTGAAAAAGGAAACTAAATTGAAGTAATTTAAAGCACTACGAACATTAAAAGTCTACGAATTTCCCAGAAAGCTCGTGACGGGGTGGTTCAAAAACGGCGAATTTTCAGTGGAATCGCGAAATGGAGAAAGCAGAAAGCTTACCAATGGAGCTTGAAGACGAAAACCCCTCGAGCCATTTGGGGATTGTCGTTGAGAAGATAGATCCATTTTCAAAAACCGAAGCTCATAAGAGAAAAGGGGGAAAAAGAGGAAGAGAAAAAAAACACAGATCGAGAATTCGCAAACTTGTATGCAGATCAAGAGACTTTATCAGGAGAATCCGATTGAAAAACCCAGAAAGCTAATGGTTAAATCTCACTCTCGACATGGAGGAAGAAATGAGGCTGAGACGAGAGCAAAACGTGAGCAACCTTCCACTTCGCTCTCTCTGAACACGGAAAATGGGACTGGTGGGTCTCTCTCTCTCCTCTCCCTCTAGACGCTTTTAACAAAGTCTTGAGAACAGAGATGAGAGATGTAAAAGCGTAGGTGTATTAATACTAGAGACTATTAATCTAAAGTTTTAATTCGGTAATTAAGAGAATCTAGAGTTTATTGATTAATGCATGATTAAAATATTCTATTATCGAGTTTGAAATTAATAGAGCTAGTAAAATAGTCAAAAAGGTGTGAGATTTGTTTTTTTAGTCAACGATAGGTTAACATGGTCTAACATAAATCTAATTTTGTATACACGTTTTCCACTGAATATTTCCATACGTAAAAAAGGTCTATGTATCAAGTAAGTTTGTATTTTGATTAAGTCCATAAAATCAACAGGTATATTTTAATTAAACATTATTTAGTTACCATGTTATTATAATATATAGTCATTTATTTGATGGAGCAACTCAAAGATTGTAAATGAACTTTTTGTTGAAAAGTGGAGAACAACCTTTTTAGTTTTGATATTCGAAATGCATTTTTGGTTTTTCTAGCTCGTAATTATCATTTGGTGTTATGATTCTTTCCGTGTATTTCAGTTTTCAGTTTATCTAAAATCTAGTAAAAGCTTCTAAAAGATCAATTTTGTTGGAAAAAAAATCATATAAGTCGTCAATATTTATGTGGTAAATATCGTGTTAAAATGGACAAGCAAAGCAACATAAATCGTTGTATTCCAACATAAATCGTGGAATCTGTCAGGTATTTAAATATAATTGTTTGGACAACAAATTACGCTAATTGATGCCTTACGAATTGTATGTTTGGACTTTGGACTATATAGTATCTACCGATTTTCTGTATTAAACTTAATTCTAATACATTAAATTATACGTCAATTGTTCAACCACTTCACCAAAAGATTTTAAAAGAAGGGGACTATTTTGTCATATGGGATGGGACACGGAATATTTAGAATACTTATACCAAAAAATCAAATGGATGTGCCCGATGTGGTTGCGACACGTAGATTTTTATAAAATATAGGATTGCGACATGTGTCACTTTTAATGTTATATCCGTTAAGATCGTGACACATGTCTTCGGAAAAAGAAATTTTTATTTTAAAGGGAAATTTTTAATATCTTATAATAAAAACGAAATTTTATATAATAAAATGAAAATAATGTAATAAAAAATTCCTATTAGTATATGGAATAGGTATGTAAACTAAATATCCTAAAATTGTATGGAATAGGTTATATAAACTCCTATTTAAAAAAATCTATTAGTACATGTAATAGGTATGTAAACTAAATATCCTAAAACTATATGAAATTGGTTACATGAACCCCCTATAAAAAGAGAGCTACTGTAGTCTCTTTTTCTCATTCACAAACTCATCAAAGCAAATTCAGAAAATCTCTTTGATTCTCTTTCTCTAATTTCAAAATCATGTCTTTGAAAGTTCAAGAGAACAGTGGAGATTATTTGACTCTAGGTCAATTGGATCGAAATTAAAATTATTTGAATAAAATCCTATTAGTACATTAGGAAAAATCAGAAAACAGGAAACAAACAATTAAAAAGAAAAAATATTACATCCATTATGAGAAGTAAAGAAAAAACATAATTCTATTACGAAAAGGAAAAAAAACGAAAATCAGAAAAACATGAAGAAATAATTAAAAAATGTTACATCCAATAAGAAAAGGAATAAAAAAACATATTCCCATTACGAAAATGAAAAAAAAACAATATATAACAAGCTATATTTTTTAAGTTTCTTTCTCATTAAGAAATAAAATTCATGTCTTTAAAAGTTAAAGATATCAATGAAGAATACTTAACTTTAGATCGATACATGTGTCTAATATTTGATGAAGTGATGACATGTGTCAACACAAGAAAATTGGAAAAATGTAGTAACATAAATAAATAAACTAACAAAATAATATTAAAACAACTAACTAATAATGAAAATGAAAATTTATAATGGTCAGAGGCAAAAACGAAATTGAAAAAGAAACAATATAAATAGAAAACTAACAAAATAATTATTAAGGAACTAAATAATATTAAAAAAGAAAATTTTATAATGGACTGATCTTCTAATATTAAATAGTTTAATTTTCATGTTTTGTTAGGTAAAAAAATATTAAAAATAAAGATTTCATCATGGAATAATCAAAGTTTCATAAAATAATGAGTCGATTAGATTTAGACACATGTAAATCTTTCTATTTCATATCATGAATTCAAAATAAAAATGTAAAAGACTACATATCTTTATTTAGAGATTTGTTATCGGGTTTTTAATATTATTTTCTTATTTTTTTTCTAATATTCTTCCGTGATTTAAAAAATAAAAATAAATAAACCCGCGTATGCGGGGCCTAATCTAGTATTTGTAGAATTACAAAAATATTCTTCCATATTAATAATTGAGGTGTACAGTGACACAGTACATATGTTTATAAATAAAATAAAATAAAATGAAAGGTGTACATAGTTTATAAATAAAACAAATTATATATTAATATTATTCACATACATATTAATCAAAATATCACCTTTCTTCAGGAAGGCAAGTGACAAAAAAAAAAAAAGAGTCAAACAAATTTAAAATAAGCTGAAAGTCGAAACTAGAGACTAGTATTTAGTATTTACAGCCAAATATTAAGTAGTATGTTTAGTGTCAATCAAATATTCTTTTGAGAATTTAAGACTATATACTATGTACTGATGTACATGCCAATTAACACACGAAAACATGGAACAATATATTTCACTGCTATTGTGATATATATAAGAAAAAAGCCACACAGTAGAGTACAAAACAAGTACACAACTAATATAAATGTTAGTATGGTTAACCTAACAAAAATGACATCGTTATTCACATTAAGCTCATCCTTTTCAACCAAAGCTTACGTTGAATATAAAGAGTACTATGTTTATAATGGATTAACTACTGAGGTTATTTTTTGGCTTTGAGCGTAACAAAATATTTGAAATTTATAGAAATAGAAAGAGAATTGATGAGTGTCAACCTGATCACAAGTGCATGTCAATGGGCCAATGATGGCAACTACGACTCAAGAGATGATTTTTCAACACCACTTTTTAATATTTTTAATACAAATGCATAAAAGTAAATTTGATCATATTTTATAAAACATAATGGTAGTTAGTAGTTACTAGTTATGATATAAAAGTGTCCATCTTATATTGAGAAAACAATCCTTACCCATGATAAAAATTTCTCCCCCTAATTTTACTTTTAATCATCATAGTCATGGCTTGCCCAATTAATTCTTTGACAATGACATCCTACTAAACCCTTAAGAAAACAAACTGATTTGGTATGCCATTCACTTTCCTATGTCCTTCATTATATGTTTTCTTTCAAAAAGAAACATTAATTCGAAGTCAATAATACATAATTGTATAAGAATCAAGGGAAATTTGGTGAATTTATACCACCTTAAGTACGTATTCATTTTTCTATAAGAAAACAGAAATAAGATTAAACAAAAACTAATCTTCAAAATATGGAACTAATACATAAATTTCAATGAGTAAATGATGATCATTGGACTACTAGTACAAATATGTAACTTTTCTATGATGTACGTATGTAAGATACACATGTATCGATTCTTATTTACATACCTTTTATATACAACAAAGTCATGTACATCTATTTTTACGCTTTAAAACTCAAGTGAGAGTGTGTGAGGAAAAGAAGAGAACACAAACCATTGGCTTAAGACTTAAGACCTTTCCTTCAAGGGCTTAAAGGCAGCCAAAACAACGGCTACTTTGCACACAAGAAACCCCAAAGTCCCCACCACAATCTCTCTTGGTGTGACTGCAAATGCAGCATGATCTTCTCCAATGTAACCTCTAACGGCTAAAACAGACAATCCTACGGCCAATGCGAGACTCAAAACCGGAATCTTGAGTCTTCCGCTCAGTGTTTGATTGGAGTTTCCGGATGAAGAAGATCCCGGTGCTTGCAGTTCATCGACTGATCTCTGTAGGAGCAGCAAGTAGAGAAATCCCATTGTTCCACCGAAGAAGAAAGCAATTGCAGAGTTTTTTCCTAGTGAGAAGGAAAAGACAGAACTTCCAAGAAGGATGAGACTCGCATCGTAGAGAAGCAGAGAGAGTTTCAAGTTTGCGTACTCTTCCATGCTTTGCTCGTTGGAAACGACTGCATTGTTAAGATTCAGAGCTGAAGACGAAGAGATCTGATCGGAGCCAGTGAGTTCAGTGATACGGTTAGGTCTGAGTTCCACCATCGATAGCTCACTGCTCTCTCCGAGCATGATTTCATCAACTTCAAAATCATATCGGTAACAAAAGGTCTCTGCATCGCGTGGATTAACCACCCACAAGCTCACTCCTCCAACTCTCCATTGACCTAAACATGAAAACATCCGGTGTTCATTAACATCTGTGACTCCTAAAAGCTGATTCTATAAACAAGTTTCGTGTCAAAGAAGCTAACCAGACTCAAGACTGATCCAAAAAGCTCTGATTTTGCCGAGTTTTGGTCCTTCAAATGTGAATTCATCAACAGAGCCTCTCTGGAACTTGAAGATTTCACCATTCTCCGTGACGTCTGGATCCAAAGACTCATTTTTTGAAAAATTTGCAGGTATTGTCTGTAACACCGAATCTCCGTTTTCTTCTATCAAGCATATGAGAACTCTAGCATTCACATCGCTGATGCCTGAACCGAATAAATTACTTGTCTGCAGCTTAACCTTATAAAGAGATCGAGATTCGCTCACAGTGAAAGATGGATTCGCACTACAAACTTTCACTTCTTCTGCTGGTAGGAGACGCAGAGGTCTTGCGTAACTCTGGAAATCTAAAAAAAGCATAAAACTTCAGCAGTTTCAGTCGATTAGAGAGCAAAACCCATCACTCAAAATCGAAAGCTTCGGAATTGATCAAGCGGAAATTAAAAGCAGATTCGATCGAGAATTAGAATTGGCGAACTGATATTACCTTGATAATCGGCTGTCTTTGAGCAGACTGCACCGAATTGAGAACGACGAATTCGATAAGAACGATTTCTTCTTTTATGAAATTGATTTAATGGGTTTTTCGCGAACCTCGCGAAAGATAGAGGCTTTAGACAAATTGATTCCGTCGCCATTACAATTGCAGCTCTCGCGGTTGAAGAGAGACGCCACACGGCACAGAAGAAGAAAATGCTGAAGACCTTTGGAATTAGAGGCTTCCAGTTCCATGAGAGGAAAAAAATCAAAAAAAAATTCTGGACATATAACCGATCCGAAATTATCGAACCAAACCGAAATTATCGAAAGAATATGTAAATCTCTAAACCGAAAAATATGTATCTCTCTCTCTGTGACTTTGGCTCCAAGTTTTAAACCCTAAATCGCGCTACTTATATATACATCTCTCTCGGTGCCTTTGGCTCCAAGTTTTCTTTAGCTACTCTCGATGGGTTTGTCGTTCCTTCCATCGGTGACCAAACGGAAGAGAACAGAGAGAAGAAAGGAGATTCGTATGGGTTTGTCTCGAAACAAGAGAGGGAGAAGAAGACGACCGGAGAAGGAGATTAGTAGAAAGAAGAGAAGAAGACGAATAAATATGGGGATTCCTAAGGACGTGGTGATGGAAGAGATCCTCACGAGGCTTTCTCCTAAATCCCTGATGAGATTCAAATGCGTCTCAAAGCTTTGGTCATCGCTCATCAGCTCAAGATACTTCAAGAACCGTTTCCTCACGGTCCCATGACTCCCATCCCAACCGCGTCGTCGAATTTACATGTGTTTGCGGGCTGGCCGTGACTACCGTAACTCTGTAACACTATCGTTGTCTCCAGACACTACTTCTTGTTTTGTAGTTGACCACGATCTGACCATCCCACGTATGGGTAGCTACTTGCACCAAAATCTTGGTGGCTTCATGTGCTACATCTGTCTTAAAAAGCCGCGGATTTTTAACCCTGCCACCAGACAACTTGTCACCTTACCCGCCGCCATCAAACCTATACCAGCTCCTCCAGATGAAGCTGCTCTAAAAGAAGTCCAGTACTATTTCGGACACGACCCTCTTACCGACCAGTACAAAGTGGTCTGCTCAACTGGTGTCTACTTGAACAATCCGCTACCAGTGGGGATAAGACCAATAAGGTCAGAGCATCGGGTCTTTGTCCTAAAACCTAGAGGAGGAGGAGGCTCTTGGAAAAAGTTGGCTCCTCCAACTCCACCGAGCTTTCTTCCTCACATTCCGAGCCACGGAGGAGTGAGTATAGATGGAGTTATATATTATCTGGGTTGGATTAATACGCGAAGATCTATGCTTGTGAGTTTCCACATTAGATCCCAAGACTTCAAAATGATCCAGTTACCTCTCAGGGAGGAGAATGTAAATCGCGTGGAGAAGGTGAGTCTTATAGAGTATGGTGGCAAAGCAACTATCGTTGACCAAACCAATCTTAAAAACAAGGGTATGCTGGATTTATGGGACGTCGATGAGAAGAAGAAGTGGTCGAAGAAGACTCTGGTTTTGAAGCCTTCTCAGCTGCATCTGGTCAATAACACTGAATTCAGTCTCAAAGGTACAACTCAAGATGGCAAAGTTTTCTTGATACCAAAGGTTTTGGTTTCTCCCTTTCACATTCTCTCTTATGATCTTCGAAGCAATGATTTGAGAAAGATCGATATCAAAGGTGTACCGGAGCACTGGTTTAGTAAGGACAAATCCACCGTTAGGGTGATGCTGGCGGAACAGAGTGAGAGTCTCGTGTCCTTGGAGACTTGAATTTAGTCAGTCTCTTTTGCATGTTATTTTCTTTTTTTTTGGTGGTGATCAAGAAGACGATTTCTTTACTACATTAATTATTGGTTTATCGTGTTCATCACACCTCTAACCTTAATCTAACAATACCAACAATGACCGACTCTTAACTAGCACAATGTACACATTTATGATCTCAGATAGATATACTCAATGTATACACAAGCTTATCTGGAACAGAAGCTGAAACACTAACCTACTTCAATCTAGATCATGTAGTTCTCTTCTTGGATTGTGCTTGGATCGTGTCCTGCAAAAGAGAAAAAACACACATCAAGCAAAGAAGACACACAATGTTTAAAGCGTGAAACATGTGGTGTGATCTGATGTGTGTGCACAGACTGTCGATATTGTTGATATTCTGTACAAATTTTGGACAGTAAATTGACGAACAGTGTTTGATTCAGAACTTGACATTAAAATGGACTTAACTCTAATTACTCATTAAAACAAAAAAAAATTGGAGTCAAATCAAGCTCCAACAACATAAAATTTTCAGCGAAAACTTATAGTATAGATTTGAACCGAGTGAATCGCCAAACTTGGAACAAAATGCTGACCAAGGTTTAAATTTGAATTTCCTTTCGGTTAGTTCGTACGGCTTGATTGAATGTCCATATATTCTGATATTCATGACCTTTTTAGTCTTTACTCTTTAGAGGCTCAGAGTTCCATGAGAGGAAAAAAAGAATCTGGACATTTAACCAATCCACAATTACCAAATCAAACCGAAATAAGTGAAAGGAAATTTCATGGTATACATTAATTATTTAATTACATTAACAGTAAAATTAACATGTTATTTACTTGGTAATTAATATGTTTCTTCCTTTATGATGGATGATGTAGAAACACAACTATTCTCTTAAACCCTAACCAGTAACATTTTGCAATTCCAACTGGTTGGTTGAACAAGACATCATCTAATCAAGGACATGTCACATGATTGTCTAGCTAGGGCATAAAAACTGCTCAAAGACACAAAAAAAAAAAAAAGATGATCTCTGTTACATAAACAACCTCACATTGAATCATCAGAATCTTCTGATTCACTTCTCTCCGGCTCAACTTGTGCTGGATTATTATCATTAGTATTATTGTTAGTCCCCGTCTCAGGCGCTTCAGGCTTTTCAACAGGTGTAGCAGCAGGTGAAGAAGAAGACACTTTCTTATTTCCATTACTAGCATTCTCGGTCGCTACTGTTTCTTCTTGCTCATTTACCTAAACACACACACAGACAAAATCATGGTAAATTGGATTTACTTAACTCTGATAATTGTACCAAACAGAGTAATAAAAGAAAAGCTTACGTTTTCGACAGTTCCGCCACTCAAGATGTTAAGCAAGTCTCTCTCAACCCTCTGTACAAGCTCCGGCTGCAACATTTTTTTGTCAATCAAAGAAGATTCAATCACAACTTTCAAACTAGATAACCTGAAACTCTAATTCTCATTCCTAAGGATCAATAGCATTTCTTTTGACAATCAAAGAAGATTCAATCACAACTTTCAAACTAGATAACCTGAAACTCTAATTCTCATTCCTAAGGATCAACAGCTTTTCTGAGAACAAGAAGAAAATGGCAAATTACATTAAGGTCAGGCTCTCGACGAAATCTTCTCTTCCGAGCATCCTTCATTGGAGGAGTGAGACCATGTCTGTATTCAACTGTATTAGGCGCAGGATCACCAGCCTCCCTAACCATGATCATCTGTGTGCCAAAATCAAAAGCATTCATATTTAACTCTTTTTAGTCCAAAGTTTACAAAGGCGTAACCACATATATAAGCAACAGATGAGTCAAGCAAATTGAATCACCTGCCCAATATCAGCAGTTTTGACTAACGCACAATCATCATAAGTTTTGAAAGACTCAACAACAGCAGGAAGGTCAAGCAGAGAAGCTGGAAACTCTTCGTTTCCGATCACAAACGTCCCGCTTCTTCCGTCCTCTGCAAATCCAAAACACAAACTTTAAATATCAAGTTTTGGTTCATCGACTGGATTTTCTAGACAAACTTTAATCCTTAAATCAGAATCAATAATGACGCAACAAGAATCTAGTTCCAAGAATGTATTTTGGGTTTCACGATCCAGAGAGAGAGAGAGATAGTTTCCGATTAAAGAAGGTGAAATTCATGAATAAAGGAAGAGACTTTGGGGGATGTAATGTGACAAAAGAGACAAACCCTTATAAATTGGTGAAGAAACCAACCTGAAAAGCACAAATCTAAAGGGATTTCGTCGGAAGTAGAGGCCTCTTCGCTCAAAAGCCGATCAATTCGCTCTGAAACTGACGGTGGAACCCTAAGTATGAATTGCTCCTCCATTGAGCTTCGCTTGAGATCTTTCTATCTAGATCAACCCAGACACGGATTCCGAAGCAATTGGATTACGCAGATTGTAGCGAAGACTCTTATTAACTGTCGCTGTCGAGATGTCGCAAATCGTCGGAATGAGACGAGAATCTATTGAATCACACGACGAATGCTCTCTGTTTATGTAATAATCGTTGTAAGAAATAGTTATAAGAGAGACCTTTAAATTAGAAGAAGAATCACAAGTCTTTTTGCTATTTATTATTGCCCCCCTGTTAAGTTTCAAGATTTTGTTATATGACCTAAATAATTTCCCAATTAATCGATATTGACCCGAAAGTGGATCCATATTATCAATATAGCGAGTTTGAGGCACAAAAAGTAATTTATAAACAAATTAGGCGTCCAGATATAAAACAAAACTAATATAAAAACACCTATTTTTGAGTTTTTTTTTGGGAAATTGCAATGTTCTGAAATTAAATGGTTGTTTCTAACAACTTTTATGTGCACTGTTCATATGATTGAAGACATTAAAACCCCTACTAAATCTCCCTCACAAATATTACATCTCTTTGCTAATAAGTTTTTAGTTACTCTGCTAACAAAAAAATATGTCACCTCAGTAACAAATACCACGTTCTTTACTAACAAACATCACATTATCTTGTTAATAAAGACTATGTTACCTTGTTAACAAAAATTATGACAAATTGTTTACATTTTGTTGTTAATAAATTTGTTAGCAAGTAATAATTTGAATGTTAGCATGGAATGGTTTGAATGTTAGCGTGTAATGATTCAAATGTTAACATGATTTTACTAATTTGGTTAATAAATAATGTTAGCAAGTAATGGTTTAGATGTTTGCACGTAATGGTTTGAATGTTATATCATTGTTAGTATTTGTTAACACGAAATCTTACAAGATGTCACTTCTTATATTTTATCCTATAGGGGTAAATATGTATGATTTCTCTATATATATTTATATTGATCTAATTAACAATTATTCTAGTGAAATATTTAATTGTCAGATTATCTATGTACTAGATTAAGACCCGCGTATACGCGGGTTTATTTTAAGATTTTGTAATAAAATCATGGAAAAGTATTAAACCAAATTTGATCATTTTAAAGTAAACAGAATAATATTAAAAACCCGATAAAAATATTTAAATAAAATAAGATCGGTAACCTTTTTACGTTTTTATTGTAATTGATATTTTTTTTGAATTCATGATATAAAAAATGAATTAATTTGTTTTATTTTTATTTTTATCCAATATAGAAAGACTTATATATGTCTAAATATGATCAACTGATTAATTAATTCAACAAAACTTTATTATTCCATTCAAGAGATTTCAATTGATGAAATCTTTATTTAATAATTTTTTACCTAACAATATTGAAAATATATTAAACTATTTAAAATTAGAATATCGGTTCATTATATTTTCTTAATATTAGTTAGTTGCTTTGATAATTAATTTGTTAGTTTTCTATTTATATTGTTTCTTTCTCAATTTTGTTTTTGACTCAGACCATTATAAATTTTCATTTTCATTATTAGTTAGTTTTTTATTATCATTATTTTATTACACATATCGCAATTTTGTGAGTTATAAAAATCATACGTATTGCTATCATTTTGTTTGCTTTGATGAGTTTGTGAATAAGAAAAAAAAAACTACTTTAACTCTCTTTTTATAAGGGTTCATGTAACTTATTCCATGTAGTTTAGGAAATTTAGTTTACCTAACCTATTTCATGTACTAATAGGATTTTATTTATTTCATTAATTTGAATCTTATATGTGTTTGGATAATATAAATTTGATGAATGAGAAACCTTTTTCTATTAGGATATGACAAATATAATTTTTTTTTCTTTTAACTATAAAAGATTAACTAAACCTAACCTATTTCATGTACTAATAGGATTTTATTTATTTCATTAATTTGAATCTTATATGTGTTTGGATAATATAAATTTGATGAATGAGAAACCTTTTTCTATTAGGATATGACAAATATATTTTTTTTTCTTTTAACTATAAAAGATTAAAATTTCGTTTTTTTCCTTTATCTAATTTTTTAATTATTATTTTTTTTTTCTAAGACACATGTCACGATATTAACGGACATAACATTAAAAGTGACACATGTCGTAATCCTATATTTTATAAAAATCCTACGTGTCGCAACCACGTTGTGCGCATCCAGCTTTATATAATAAGATATTGACTAAATTTTCTCTTTTTTTTTTTGGTTTACTTTATGGTTAGTTTTCCTTTTGCTAGTAGGAAACATTCCTAATCGTGTTTAGTATACTCTTCCTATATAACGACCCTCTCATCTTTGAATTGAACAATATTGAGTCTGTTTTGTTTCGTGTAGAGCTCTCATCATGCCTGTTCGTGCGTGCTTCCCCTCCATCACCAGGTCTAATGTTCGTCACGTGGGTGATAAAGGATTTCAAGTCTTTGCAACACAGCATTACGTCACCGGAATTCGAAAGCGGTGGCTGCAAATGGTAAGGAAGAAGAAAATCAAGGCAAAGTTTTGGCTCGCTATAAAAAGTCCATACCGACGTAGAGCAACACGTGATGATCCGAAATATTTTGATTGGAAGTATACTGCGTGGGGTGTATCAGACTTGTTGGACCGTAGCGAACTTGATGATGGTTTTCTTGATGATCACGGTGATCTCAATATTGAAGCTCACGTAGAGGTTCTCTTCAAATCTGGTCTTCAGACGTGTTGCTGTGGCAGGGGCTTTAGACAACGTGTTCGATGATAATAACAAGTGTTTTCTTTAATATTTTTTATAGGCCTTTAATACCTCATCACCATGTGCGATTGTTATTTCTGGACTAAATAAAATTCGTTTCTTACAAATATGTATTAGTTTGTTCCAAAACAATTATTTCCCATGGTGAAAGTTTTACCATAGAGATGAGAGCCTAATGATCCACTGCACATCTCAAAACATGAAAGAAGTAATTAGAGATTCTTATGAAGATGTTTCTATATGGTAGTGAAGATTCCAAGTGAAGTTGGGTTTGTATTCACTTTGATGATTTGAAAAGATGACATCTTTGTAGGGTCAAATCTTGGTTTTTTATTTATGTTTTGATGCACCAGGAAGTATTTTGGGAACAGAACAGTGTTTTTGTTATCTCCTTAAGATTGAATCGGAAGTTATTATGAAAGTTGTAACATTAGTCCACACAAAAGTCGTAATATTATAGCGTTTGCGTTCTTGCCTTGTTGCGTTCGTGTTCAATGAAAACGGCAAAGATGAGTAGATTTGGTTTCTTTGAGGGACAAAGAGCTCTACAGAGCCAAAGAGTATGGTCCGAAATCTACTAAGGAGTTAGTTTTGTTTTCATAAAGATCTGACCTTTTTGCTTTGGAACAAGAATTTTCCACATAAACATTTGAAGCAATCTTGGCGAAGCTATGTGGAGCTTTGTTGTCCACATAAATTCTACCTACCACCAGCTTTAAAGCCTCAAATGGCGATTAACTTGTATAGAGAGAAAGACATAGAGATGTGGAAGCGCATAGAAGAATTGAGTTGCGATGATTATGTGAAAGCTGGATTGAATTTGGAAGACGCCAAGGGATTTGAAAAAGTGGTGAGAGATGTGATTTCAAGATCCAAAGGAACTGACCCAAGAGATCAATGGAAGGCTTTGGTGGATGAGAGTGTGCTTAAGCCATGGCATCCTCATCCTCTGCATCAGCTTCTCTATCACTCTGTCTATTCAAACTGGGATTCCTCTGTTCATGGTCCTCCTCTCTACTGGTTTCCTTCTCCGTACGTCTCTCTCACTCTCACTCTCTCTCTCACACATGAAGTTGTTCGAAATCTTAGTGCCTGTCTGTTTCTTCTTTGTGTGTGTGTTAAGATCTCAGTCAAAAGCCACAAACTTGGGAAGGCTGATGGAAACTCATGGGTCAAGGCTTCTTGGTGATTCATACAAGAACCCTCTTGAAAGTTTTGACCTTTTCCGGAGATACTCAGTTGACCACCCTGAAGTAAGCATTGACTTGACTTGAGCATTAAAAAAAAAAAAAAAGACTTTGTGGAAGCTCTGTTTTGGTCTAACTTTACTTCTTTTATTCAGGCTTATTGGTCACTCGTTCTTGATGAGCTTTCACTCGTCTTTCGTTCTCCTCCGAGATGCATCCTTGACAAATCAAAACCTGGAGGGACATGGCTTCCTGATGCAGTTCTTAACATCGCTGAATGTTGTCTTATGCCTTTAAGCCATCCCAAAAAGGAAGATGATAGTTTGGCTGTTGTATGGCGAGATGAAGGCTCTGATGATTCTCCTGTCAATCGTATGACGTTAGGAGAACTCCGCGAACGAGTAATGTATGTAAACATTTTGTTTACTCTTCTTTTGACTGTTTATTTATCTGTGAGTGATGTCTATGTACTGAAAAAGGTTGGTGGCAAATGCGATAAGTGGAAGTTTTGCAAAGGGTGACACAATTGCAATCGATATGCCAATGACAGTCGATGCAGTGGTTATATATCTTGCAATCATATTAGCCGGTTGTGTAGTTGTCTCCATCGCAGACAGCTTTGCTGCTAAAGAAATTGCAACAAGGTTGAACATTTCCAAGGCAAAAGGCATATTCACTCAGGTTTGTGAGTGACACAGCCTGGCTCACCATTTTTTTCACCTTTTAGTATTCATTTCTTATCACATTTTCAGGATTATATACTCAGAGGAGGCCGGAGATTTCCTTTATACAGGTGACAAAACTAATCAACTGTGGCTGATTTTGCCAACAATATAATAATTAATACTGATTCTTGTCTTCTTTTTCTTGTAGCCGAGTGGTTGAAGCTGGTCCATCTAAGGTTATTGTCCTCCCTGCTTTAGGGACTGAATTGCATGTACAGTTAAGAGAACAGGACATACCGTGGAAGGAGTTTCTGTCCAATGCAAAAAGCCATCTTAGGTAAACTGTTTACATCTCTACAATTGTAATTACTCAGATAGTGTTGCTGAGAGATGGCTCCAATTTTTCTTGCAGTGGAGATAATTACTTTCATCCGATATATCAACCTGTGAACTCTGTGATTAACATTCTCTTCTCATCTGGAACTACAGGTAACAAAAAATAAAAATGATACTAATGGTACAGATATGTTTAGATGCATGTATTGATAAGTTCTTTTTTCTAAAACTAGGTGAACCAAAAGCTATACCGTGGACACAGCTCTCACCAATCCGTAGTGCTTGTGATGGATGGCTCCAATTTTTCTTGCAGTGGAGATAATTACTTTCATCCGATATATCAACCTGTGAACTCTGTGATTAACATTCTCTTCTCATCTGGAACTACAGGTAACAAAAAATAAAAATGATACTAATGGTACAGATATGTTTAGATGCATGTATTGATAAGTTCTTTTTTCTAAAACTAGGTGAACCAAAAGCTATACCGTGGACACAGCTCTCACCAATCCGTAGTGCTTGTGATGGATGGGCTCATCTTGATGTCCAAGTTGGTAATACATATTGTTGGCCTACAAACCTTGGATGGGTCATGGGACCAACTCTTATCTTCTCCTGCTTCTTAACCGGTTCAACGCTCGCTCTCTATCACGGATCTCCCCTTGGCCGCGGTTTTGGAAAGTTTGTTCAGGCAAGACCACCTCCACTGTTGTCTCCTTCTCAATATTGCTAACATTCTATAACTTGTGCTTGGTATTTCTTCAGGATGCTGGCGTTACGGTTCTTGGCACTGTTCCTAGCTTGGTGAAAACGTGGAAGAGGACAAACTGTATGGAAGGGCTTGATTGGACGAAGATGAAGTAAATAGCAACAAACCTTAGTTTGGTTTATATGTTTTGTGGTTTTCTTGAGAAGATTTGACTCAGAAGTTGCTTTTGTGGCTTTGTCAGGTATTTCGCCACTACAGGAGAAGCTTCCAATGTTGATGACGTTCTCTGGCTTTCTTCTAAAGCTTATTACAAACCTGTGATCGAATGCTGTGGAGGCACAGAGCTCGCTTCTTCTTACATCATTGGAAGCCCACTTCAACCGCAGGCTTTTGGAGCTTTTAGCACACCCTCCATGACTACTAGAATCATCATCTTCGACGAAAGTGGCGTCCCATATGTAACAAACTGAATCCTTCAGTTAACTTCTTTCTAAAGCTACACAGAGATTAATTAAAGACTGGTTTTTTGCAGCCGGATGATCAACCTTGTACCGGAGAAATCGGTTTGTTCCCGCAGCACCTTGGGGCTACAGATAGACTTATGAATGCAGATCATGATGAGGTCTATTTCAAGGGGATGCCAATGTATAAAGGAATAGTGAGTAGTTAGTAAGACTTTCTTTACATTCACAGCTAAACCAAATTGCAAGCACACATCACTTGAAACTGTTGTGTTCTGTTTTGCAGCGACTTAGAAGACACGGTGACATTGTGAAGAGAACTGTAGGAGGATATTTCAATGTTCAAGGAAGAGCTGATGATACCATGAACCTTGGAGGCATTAAGGTACAGCTACATTGTGTTGTTATATACAGCTTTTGTTTTGTGTTGGAACTTCTCCATAATGTTGTTTCTCTGTTGTAAACGTAGACGAGCTCTATTGAGATCGAACGAGTGTGTGATCAAGCCGATGTATGCATCTCTGAGACGGCTGCAGTCAGCTTAACGCCGGTTAACGGTGGTCCAGAGTTGCTGGTTATATTCGCAGTCTTGAAAGAAGGGTTCAAGAAACAGAGTGAAGAAGAGCTAAAGATGAAGTTTTCAAGAATCATTCAGAAAGATCTTAATCCTCTCTTCAAGGTACATTCTTAATATATTTGATGGTTTTTAGCAAATTCAAAAGTTACAAAGAGTTCTTTGTCTTGCTTAAAAATTGAAAGAAAAAAACAATGCAGGTGAGTTTTGTGAAGATTGTGAATGAGTTTCCGAGAACAGCTTCCAACAAGTTACTGAGAAGAGTCTTGAGAGATCAGATGAAGCAAGAACTAGTATCCGTACGGAGTCGAATATAAGCCTTAAAGCTTAAAGTTTAGTGACAAATAAACCAACTAGTGACTATTGTTAGTTGATCTTTATTTATGAAAATAAAATCTGTTGAGAAGTATTTTAACTTAATTCTCTAACTTAAGATACCAATTCACTTGAGATCTCTAAGCTAATTCACACTTTCATGATAAACAAAAATCCTCCTGCTATCTAAGTTATACATACATAATACCCTTTGATATCTTTTTGAATGAAACAAGTTTATGGTAAAATTGATCGATGGCATGTCTATTAGGCATGACCACGGTTACGATTATCACGGTTAAGGTTATTTAACCACCGGTTACGGTTAGAAATTTTGTTAACCTTAACCTTAACCATTTAACATACGGTTAATACGGTTATGGTTAAATATCAATCCGGTTAGTACGGTTACGGTTATAATTATAATACGGTTAATATTACGGTTTATGATTAAATAAATATTATAAAAAAACAGAATAATGTAAAAATTTACACTAACATATATGAAAGAGATAAATTAAAACATAATTATAAATGTATATAAAACTTTGAAAGAAAAATGAATTATTCATTTCATGTTGAGAATTATTTATTACAATAATAAAGTTTAAAAAAATATTAGTCACTGTCTTCGGATCTTACTGAAGATACATCACTATCAAAATCTTCTAACTCTTCTTCATTGTCTCGGATGTATTCTTGTTGTCTATATTGAGCTCTGGTCCAATCATCAAGACATGCTTGAGCTTCGAGAGAATC